CCCTCTGCTCTGGGAATGTTCTCCTGGAGCAGGGAAGGCTCTGGGGGGGCCTAAAGGGGCTCCAGGAGAGCTGGAGAGGGACAAGGCATGGAGGGACAGGAACAGAGAGCACGGCTTCGCCCTGGAAAAGGGGGGATTTAGATGGATTTTGGGAAGGCATTCCTGCCTGTGAGGGCAGGGAGGGGCTGGAACAGAATTCCCAGAGAAGCTGTGACTGCCCCTGGATCCCTGGAAGTGCCCAAGGCCAGGCTGGACAGGGTTTGTGGCGACTCAGCCTGTGGAAGGTGTCCCTGCCCATGAAGAGGATGAGCTCCAAGGTGCCTTCCAACCCAAACCATTCCACAATTAACGAGGACAAGTTCATTTAGCAATCCCAAAGAACGCCACCCCGGGCCTCTGGAAATGGCACTCCCAAGCCAGAACAGGGAGACCAGAACCATCCCAAAGGAAGTTTCCCCGGCGGCTCCGCTCACCGCCAGCTGCACTCCCAGATTATCGGCGACTTTCTCCAGGAGCTTGGCCGTGGGTTTGTCTTTGCACAGCAGGACCAGCTCCAGGTCCAGGTCTCCCTTCAGCAGGAGGCCTTTGGCCACGAGCCCCACGCGCATCACGCCCCGCAGGGTCCTCGTCAGCTGCTCCGTGGCTTTCTGATCCCTGGAAAAACACGGCACAGGGTCACGACGGCGAATTCACGGCCCAGTGACGCCCCACCCAACCGGAGGGATGGATCCGTGAGGATCAACCCGGAGCCTTGGCTGCTTCCCCTCAGGTCCCCAGCCAGGGAAGACAACTTTTCCACCAGCACGGGTGGGTTTTTAGGGAGCTAAGCGAATTTTAGGGATCTAAATCGGGACGGTCCCACCAGCAGCTTCGCTCCTCACCCTCCTTCCTTGTTCTCCTCCTCGGCCGCCGTCTCCATGGACTCGGTCTCCGGCTGCTCCCCGCTGACTTTCTCCTGCTCGTCAATCCAGTCGGAGACGGCTTTGAGCGCCCGCTCCGTGTGGGACACCATGTTCTGCACGGCCTCCAGCTCCTCCTGCGTGGGGTACACGGCCGAGTGCTTGGCCATCACGTGCCGGTCGTCGTTCACAAAGATCCGCATTGGGCGCTGCCAGGGCAGGAATATTTGGGAATGTTTAGGGAACGCCGGGGAGGCGGGTATTCACCCCATGGCCGCCAACCCAGCCGTCCCTTTTTACCATTTTTGTTTTCTGCTGCCTGCCTGAAGGTTTCGGAGGCGTTTATTTGGATTGTTCCGGCGAGCAGAGTGTCGCGGCACCGCGGCGCGCCGGGATCTGAAAGCGACAGAGAGCGGGGTGAGCCAGAGCAGCCGGAGCCTGGGGCACACGCTGGAGCAGCGGGAGCTGGGAGCAGGAACAGCAATTAGACAGATCCCAACTCGTTAGGCAGAGCCCAGCTTTCCGCTCCCGAGGACTTACACCCTGCAGACTGACAATGGAGGACCACAGAGCATCTAATCCTTACTCCCTTTTATTCCCAAGAGGTTGTCCCAGGAAATGGGACTTTTCCAAAGCTCCTGCTCCCCTCTCCAAAGCAGACACAACTCCCCTCTCCACACTGAAGCAGCCGCCCTGGGAAATCCAGGTGGGAACCCAGTGCTCAAAAGTCCTGGAATTCAACAGATTCAGCCCAAGTGACACCAAATTCTTGGCTTTTTGTGGGAACCGCCCCCAGCTGGGGCAGCGGAGCCTTTTGTTCCAATTTGTTTTCTGTTCCAATTTGTTCCAAGCTCACCCAGAGCTGGGGCTCACATTTTTAGGATAAAAACCAGGAAAATTCATTCCCTCGAGCTGCTGCATGGACACACAATTCCATTCAAGGAAACCCCTCTGATTCCAATCCTGCCAGTCCATTCACAGGACGATGTAACAGTGCCATAAATCTGGATTTAATTGTAATTAAGCCCCGACCGGTGCCGGCTGAGGAGAGAGAATCATTTCCAAGGAGCCACATGGCATCTCCCGGTGCCTTCTGCTCCGGGCTGGGCCCTGAAGGCCCCGTTATTTTCCTTAAAATTCCCTCAGTTTCCCTCAGGCTGGATAAGGAAAGGCTTGAAATCCCACCCAACTGTTCCCACAGTCAGAATCACAACAGCCAGAGAGCCTCCCGTTATCCATCCCTCTCCTGGGATTTTTGGAGGGAGAAATCTGGGACCTGATGCTGCAGCACCACCAGATCTGTGTCTCTTGAGGAGAAAAACCACAGATTCAGTTCAACCAGGAGCCCAACCCCAACAAAAACAATCCCTGCCCTCGGAAATGGGACAAACTCTGGAGTATCACCTGGTTTCGGCCTCACCCCCCCCACAAGAATTCACCAAACTTCCCCACACTCCCATCGAGCATCCCAAGGGAAGGAGCGACTCTCCCGAAGGTGTTTTTGGGAGGATGGAGGGAAAAACAACCAAAGGACGTAAAATGCTGGAATTTCTGCCCTAAACGTGGGAAAGCACAGGCGAAGCCACGCTTGGGGCTCAAGGTTTTAAGAAAGAATTGCTGGCTTTTATCCGAGTTCTGGCACCTGCCCGGGATGGGTGAGGAGCCAGAACAGCATAGCCCTCACAGGGAGCAGCCCAGGAACCGCGGGATCGTGGATCCCAGCGGGAATCCCGGAGGGAATGGGGACACAAAGCTGGTGGGAAGGGGGTGCTGGATCTCTCTTTTCCTCTAAAACCCTCCCGAAACAGAGCGGCCACGGGATAACGGGGCTGGAGCAGCGGGAAGCAGGGTCAGGGATGGCGAAAAGCTGAGGAGTGAGAGGAGAATCCTACTCCTGAGCAGGGAAAAGGGCTAAAATCCCCCTAAAACAGAACGATCCCACTGCAATTCCCAGCTTGGGATGAGGCGGGAAGAGGGGTTTGAAATCCCTTCAAGGGGGGATGATCCAACCTCCTCCACGATGCCCCCCCCGAACATCCCACCCAGGGGGCGGCTGAGGGGGTCGGGAAAGGAGCGGGGCCCCCTCAGAATCTGCAGTGCGGGGCGAAGATGAGGAGGGGGCGCGGGGAGAGGGATGGTGAGGAAGGGGCGCGGGGAGGTGAGGAAGGGGCGCGGGGAGCTGAGGAGGGGACGCGGGGAGAGGGAAGGTGAGGAGGGGGAACGGGGAGCTGAGGAGGGGGCGCGGGGAGGTGAGGAGGGGGCGCGGGGAGCTGAGAAGGGGACGCGGGGAGGTGAGGAGGGGGAGAGGGAAGGTGAGGAAGGGGCGCGGGGAGCTGAGGAGGGGGAACGGGGAGCTGAGGAGGGGGAACGGGGAGCTGAGGAGGGGGCGCGGGGAGAGGGAAGGTGAGGAGGGGACGCGGGGAGCTGAGGAGGGGACGCGGGGAGGTGAGGAGGGGACGCGGGGAGTGAGGAAGGGGCGCGGGGAGCTGAGGAGGGGCGCGGGGAGCTGAGGAGGGGGCGCGGGGGCCGCCGGGCGCTGCCGCCATTTGCAAACGCGGCGCGAACAAAGCGACGCCGGCCAGAAATGAGAGGAGAGACCGGGGCAGCACCGTAAGACACCCGCGTTCCCCTCGGCGGCGGCTCCATCCCCGCCCGGCCCTCAGGGCGCTGCTGAGGGGATCCGTGAGGGGACCCGGCCGCCCCCCCCACCCTCCCCTCACTCACCGCCGCCATTTTGTCTGCACACAATGGGCAGGGCGGGAGGGAGGGGACACGGGGGGGCCGGGTCACCACGTCCCGCCGCCGCCCCCCCGCTTCACACCCCCCCCCACACACAAACCTCACACCGGCTCCTCCCGCCCCAGCACCGCCCCGGTCCGGTCCGGCCGGCTCGGTGCAGCGCGGCTTCCCCCCCCCGCTTCCCCCCCGCTCCTCAGCGCGGCGTGGGGACGGCTCCTCACCGGTGCTTTCGCTGGGGTGGCCCGGCCCGGCCCGGCCGGGAGGGGCCCGGGAAGGGCCGGAGCGGGGCCGGAGCGGGCGCGGCGGGGCCGGAGCGGGGCGGGAGCGGGGCCGGAGCGGCGGCGCCGGGACTGCGGCGGGGGGGGGGGGGGGGGGGCGGGGCCGCCGCCGCCGGCGGGGGGCGCGCGCGCGCGCGCCGGCGGGGCGGGACCACGGGGGAAGCGCGGCCGGCGCGGGCCAATTGGAGGGCGCGGAGGGAAAGTGATGGACAGGGGGCAGAGCGAATCGGAGAGGGCGGAGGGAGGGTGATGGACATGGGGGCGGGGAGGAGAGGGGGACGGGCGTGGGGGCGGGCGCGGGCCAATGGGGTGGGCCGGTAGGACGTGATGGACAAGGGGGAAGACCAATGGGAGAAGGAGGAGGGAGGGTGGGGCGGGAGGGGCGGGGCCGGGAGCGATGGCGGGAACGGGCCGGGGGGGCGCGGGCTGAGGGGACGCCGTGAGGGGAGCGACGGCCCGGGGCGACCTCCCGGAGGAGACAGGACCGCACGAACCCCCCGAAACACCTGAGCCCAGCCAGGTTATACCGGGAATATCCTTCTCTGACAAGGAGTGAAAAGCTTTGACCTCAAAGTGCCTTTTTTTGGAGGGGTTTGGTGTCAAAATCGCCTTTTTACGAGGGCGACAACCTCAAAATCACCTTATTTGGAGGGGGTTGACCTCAAAACCACCTTATTTGGAAGGGGTTGGGCCTCAAAACCTCCTTTTTAGAAAGGGTTTGTCCTCAAAACCTCCTTTTTTGAAGGGGCTTGACCTCAAAAATGCAGATTTTTCAGTGACTTGACCTCAAAACCATTGAATTTTTGAGGGGAACAAGCTCAAAGATGTCATTTTGGAGGCATTTGACCACAAAAACACCTTCTGCTTTTGGTGACCAGGGACACACCATTGAATAGGTGTCTGAAGGAGCACTTTGCTTTTTAACATCCCCTCTCGGAGACCCTCAGGGATTGCTGGAAAATTACTCAGATCCAGCCAAAACTCCCCAAAATCAGTGACCCCCTCCCCCGACTTAAACGGTCGTTTTGGGGTGAAACGTGGTGGAATTGGTGTCAGCCCTGTGATGCCACACAGCAGAACGAGGTCCAAACAGGCACTTTTTTATTGTCGGAACCGCGCAGAGACTCCGGAGTGTCACAGCACCCTTAATGCCTCAAAAACACACGAAAAATGAGCATTTTCCTGTAAAACATCACCCCTGCACGTTTAGCAATTTTTTTTTTTTTTTTTTTTTTTTAGGATTTAGGGTTGTTTTCTTTGCCCACAGAACCATGGCGTTTGTAGGGACACAAGCCGCATTTCTAGACAGGAGAAAAAAGCGCTGTTATTCCTAAATTCCATCATTTAATGCCTCGAACACAGAGTTTTATCCTGGAAGCAGGAACCCAGTATTGGAGTGAAGCTTTTCCAGACACCAAATTCCCCCAGACAGCTGCCCTTGCTCTGAGTTTTCCAAAAAAAACCCCTAATTTACAAGAATATTTCCCTCACTGCTCCCCATCACCTCTAAAAAGCCACTTGGGTTTATTTGCAATAAAAATCCTGAATTCTCCTCAAATCCTGTGCTGCTGGGAGGCAGCCGAGCCAGCCCGGCTTCCCCAGGAGCACATTTTCCCAAATTTCTTCTCTCCTTCACCACTCCTCCTTCCAGCCTTCCAAATTCCTGCTGTCCTTTGCCTTTTGGAGCAAATAAACCCAGTTCCTGCCACTCCTCAGCTGCTTCCCACAGGGTTCCCACACCCAAAGGGTCAGGATTTAGGAGGAAAACGGCTAAAAATTGAGGAGTGAGGGAGAATTCGGCCCCCAACACGAACATATAAAACCAAATCCACCCTGAAACCTGCACAGGGAGGGAAGAAAACTGAATTATCCAGAACGAGCATCAGGAGCTGCAGGACACGTGCTGGAGGTGCTGGAATGGCTGTAAGTGGAACAAGGTCTGGTGATTATTCCCTGGATTATTCCCACTTATCCCAAACAAGGAGGATTTGCCTCTTTTTAGATTAATTTGATCTTTTCTGTGGAGCTTTACTGTTACTTTTTCAGCTTTGTTTTTACCTTTCCCTTCATTTCTCTGTCTTTCCCTTTTCACCTTTCTAGTTTTACCTTTTCCTTCATTTTTTTTGGCTTCAATTTTCCCTTGCACTCCTCCACTGCCCATTGATCAGCTGCGCTGAAAAACGAGGGGGAAAAGTGAGCATTTAGGGAATTTTAAAAAGAAAAATTAGAGAAATCAGAGTGTTTGATTCCAGCTAGGGAAGCTCTGCCCGGCGGCGTCAGAGAAACTAAAACGTGCCCCCAGAAATTCACTGGAAAAGCTCCAAATAACCACAACCAAAAACATCCTGGAAAAGCAAAATATACAAAAGCCCCCCACCAAAAGATTGGATAATGCCATAGAAACGTTCCCCTGGACGATACAAAAACCTAAAGGGGAATTGGGATAAAAAAAAGCCAAAGGGATCCCTCAGTGCCTGGAGGGATCCCAGGTGAGCACTGGGAGGGGGAAAGGTGGGATCCCCCCAGCCTGTGGGAGATGGGAATTGTCCCCCAAAGCCTCAGAGCATTTTAAAATCATTTTTTAACAAATGAGCCCCCAAAAAAGCCCAATTGTTGGTGGTGGTCCTGCTCCTGTGGCTGCAGCGGGTCTGAGGGTTAATTCTGTTACATTTTAGGTTTGAGTTAGTTACATTTTAGAGTTAATTGACCCGTTTTCCACACCAAAAAAAAAAAAAAAAAAAAAAAAATCCCTTTTTCCCCCTCCTGGCTGGAGGCCGGCGTTGGCTGCCACGGCTTTGCCAAAATCACCTGGAATGAAACCAAAATCCCTCCAGGTCCATCCATGCCCCTTCCCCATGTCCTGGGGGGGGGTCCCAAAACCCCTGATGCGAGTGAATTACTTGGGAAGCTGAAGGGCTTTGCCCTGAACTGACAAATTTGGGGAGCCAGATGCACGTTTTGGGGAGGAATCTGTGGATTCCTCAGGTCCTCAAGAGATGCAAGAGCTGGACAGAGCCTCAAACCCAAATTCTGCTCACAGCCCCCTCGTTCCCCTCCACCTTCACCCCTCGGGAGTGGCTACAAAAGCACAAATTAGCTTATTCTTAAAATAATTAATTAATTAGGGCCCAAACCAGGGCCCTCAGGTGTCGGCAAAGGGCAGCGAGGGATGGAAGCGATGCCAGCCCGTCCCAGCTCTCTGGGGGCAGGAATGCACAGCCACAATTCCACTTTTAGGGGAGGCACGAGGAAAACGCCCCACCAGGAGCTGCCTGAACCTCGCGGCTCCTTCCCGCGCCCGGATCCGCTCGGATCCCCGAGGAAAGCCACCCGAGAAGGGCTCACCAGGACCAAAACGGGATCAAACACAATCCAACTCGCTCTGGAGCCGCTGACCCTCGGGAACTGGGATTTGCCCCAGGAGCGGCACTGGCACGGGGCGCCGCGGCTCCTTAGCGGTGACAAGCTCGTCGTCGTTACCAGCGCAAGGATTTAAGGCCGAGTCATCAAAAATCTGCATTTTACCAATCCGCCCGCGCTGCCCAAGGTCCGCAGAGGCGAATTCCACGCGGGACGGGCGCTACGCGTCGGGCTGGCCTTTGTTGGTCTTCTTGAGCAGCTTCCTCAGGTTCTGGGACATGAAGTACGGCTTTTCCGCCGAGCCGTCGTTGCGCTCCAGGTCTTCCACTGCAAAGACAAATCCCCGGCCCCACGGCGGGGGCAGATGTGGGGTTGGTGTGACGGAGGCTCCTGGGATCCTCTAACAACCATTCCCAGGTTAAACAAATCCTCTGGGCTCCTCGAGGAACGGGGTTTTCCTCTCTCTGACACAGCAAACCCGGGAATGGCCGCAAGGATTGAGAAGGAAGAGGAAATTTGGGCGTTTTGCTTCTCGAGGGGGAAAGTTGAACAGAGCCAAGGGCAGGAGGGACCCCTCAGCTCTTCCCAACAGCTCTGGAGCCAATGCAAAGCGATTCCCCTCGTGCCAACGAGGTTGGAAAATCCCAGCCGTGGAAAAAACAACACCCCGAAACCAAACAAAGCCACAAAGCTCCGGGCTTGCAACGCCCAGGGGGTGTTTGGAGAGGGATTTGGATCCTTCTGATGGCAATGGGAGCACCAACAGCAGGGCTTTGTCCTGGGAGAGGCTGGCTGGGAGCTGTGGCTGAGGCCGAGCCACAAGAGCTGTTTTTTTTTTTAATTTGATCATTTCTGGGCTGTCTGGAGGAGAAATCCCAACCCCCTCCCATGCCTGGAGTGAAACCCCCCAAGTCCCAGCGGCCACCAAGTCCCGATGGCCACCGGCGACGGCTCCTGTGGTGGCTGGGAAAAGGGACAAGCCGGGCTAAAGCAGCGGGTGTGAAGTCAAAGCTCTGCAACCTCGCCCGGAATCCTTCAAAATTTCGTGGTTTGCATAGAAACGGGGGGAGGAAAAGGGTGAGGAAACTGCAAGGAAAGGGCAAAGAAAGTTTGAGTGCTCTTGGCTGAGGCAGACACAGAGGAAACACCCAGAGACCAGTTTGGGGTGGCGGAACCCGCAGAGCCCTGTCCCTCCACGCGGGATCCCTCGTGCCCTCCCTCAGGAGCAAAGATCTCTGCCTCAAAGCCCCGCGACGATCTCCGGGCACCGCGCTCCTCGCCGGGCGCCACCGCAGCCCCGGCCGACACCGGGCGGGTCTCTAGGCGCAGGAACACGGAATTTTGGGCAGGAAGGCAGATCGGACACCGTCGGGCACTGAGGGTCGGCGCCCGCCACCCTCGAAGGACTTCCAGGGGACACAGTGGCACCGCGGGAGTCGCTGCTGGGGTCAGGGGCCGGGAGGGTCCCGCGGCCTCCGCCCTAGCCTTGGCTATCGGCGCTTTTGGAAGGTTCTAGGTGCCCCTTCAGCAGGATCTCGCTGAGCTCGGGGGACATGTAGTAAGGCCTCTCCGGAGATCCATCGTTTCTCTCCAGATCTTCACCTTTTCCAGCCCCAGGAAGAAGCAGCAGTGAAGGGGAAGAGCGAAAAGCAGTGGAGGAGGCAGGGAGAGACAGGGCAGAGGTGGAGGATGGAGAACGTGTGACCAGAGACACGGGAGGGGTGGAAAAGAAGGAAAACAGGGAGGAGAAAAAGGGAAATCGAGGTTAGCTGTAGTTAATTCCACCGAGCCCAAAGCACCAAAACAGAGGGAGAGATGCAGGAGCCCGTGACAGGCTGGGGGTCTCTGCTGGAGCAGGCAGGGGACAGCAGGTGAGAAGGCAGGTGAGGAATCAGGAAAGGAAAAAGCAGGAGAAAAGCACAGAGAGGGACCCCGGGACTGGGAGCGAACCCCCAGACTGGACGCTCTGGGGGTGAGGCTGATGGAAGAGAGGGTTTTTTGCTGATACTCACAGAAGCAAAGGAAGAGGGTGTCCACGCACATGCCGTACACGCTGAAGAAGCCGTGGGCGATGAGGTAGGAGCCCACGATCACCGTCTGGAAGAGAAACCGCACGCCGATGCCGTGGCCGGCGGAGAGCCCGGAGCAGCAGGAGGAGGAGGAAAGAGCTGAATCCCACATTCCCCAGGGCAAGGAGGAGAAGTGAACAGGGCAGGACTGTTCGGAGCAGCCCGGGTGGGGACAAAAGGCCTCAGCCAGCACTGGATGGAGGCCAAAGCGGGCAGCGCAGGCGGGCGCGGCGCCAACGGCAGCCAACAAAGGGCTCATTGCACGGGCAACCGGGAAAACACCTCCAACAAAGGAGGGCCTTGAGGCGCCGGGCGTGGGGAGGGGTTGGTGTGGGGGCATCGCTGCCCTCTCCTGCTAAAGTCACCCCAAAGAGAAAGGGCAGCTCACCAGAATTGGGACCCAGTAGTAGTTCAGCGGCGGTGCCGTGTCCTGGACCAGCTTTATCCGGTGGGTGAAGAAGAAGAAGGCGAGGATTCCTGGGAAAAGAAGGGATGGACGAGGGTGGGCAAGATGGAAAATGGGATGGAAAGGAGCAGCTTCATGAACACAACCAGCAACGGCAGCTGGATGCCCCGAGGAGAAACTTCCAGAATCTGGCACTTACCCACGCTTCCCACGATGAGGAGCTTGCCGAGGAAGAAGAGGAAATCCGTGACTTTATCTAACACGGCCACCCTGGAGACAAGAGAGGGATGAGCCTCCGCATCTGCTCCGCGCCCCGAGTCCTGACAGAAGCAGCCAAGGCCAACGGGCTGGGGTGGCTCTCCCAGGATCTCACCTGATGATGTTCCTCATCAGCAGGAAGAACGCGTTCCGGGCCGAGGTGCAGAAGTTGGTGCCGTAGATGGCGATCTGGGGCGGAAAAATCGGGCAGAGAAGAGAGAAACGGGGCTTCACTGAGCCCAGCACCCAGGGGAGGGTGCAAATCCCACCCTGGAAGGGCTTTCTGATCCACTGCCGGGTCCGGCATCGCAGGGACCCAGAGCTGAACACCCCCACCCGCAGAAGGTCCTCCCCAAAGCCAACAGAACATGGCTGTGGTCAAGGTTTTCCACCCAAAAGGCCGAAAAACACCGCAGAGCTCCGTGTTCCCTCCCGCAGCATGGGGAGACACAATTCCCAGGGAAATCTCTGAGCTGCCCCCGTGGCAGCCCCAGACCTTCGAGGGCGTTGCTTTTGGGTGACTCTCACCATGATGTAGGCATTCCTGTTGAGGAACTTGATGAATTTTTCCAGGCACCAGAAGCAGCACTTGAGGCAGCTCAGGAGGAATTTGGCAAACTTGTTCTCGGCAGCTGGAGGGCGCAGGGAGAGGGGTCAGCACCAAAGCCAGAGGGGTCAGATCTTCCAGGAGCCGCTTTGAGGTCCCTGGTGAGACTTTTGTTGCCGCAGTTCCCCCATCCAAGCCCTGTTCTCAGCCCCCTGGGCACCCAAGGTGAGGCCCAGACCCACGCCCCAACTCGCTGTTGACGTTTCCCGTCGCACGGCACAGAATTCCCCGGCACCGGGGCGGGCTGGCCGAGTCCCTTGGCTCCTACCCCGGGAAACACTTCCCAGCGCCATGGAATGGTTTGGGTTGGAAGGGGCCTTGCAGCTCATCCCGTTCCACCCCACCACCGCAGACCAGCCCCGCTCACTTCCCCGTTCCCATCCCACCCCGGTACCTTTCAGCCGGTGGTCCAGGTACTCCAGGGTGACCCTGATGACCTGGACGACGGCCAGGACCAGCGAGCCGAAGGCCAGCGAGCCGGTGTGGTACCTACGGATGGAGCACCCCGGTTATAAAAGCACGACCTCGCAGAGCTCCCGCCCACCCTCGGCGGGGACGGACGCACCGGAGCGCGCGGCCGAAGGCGGAGAAGAGCGGGAAGGCCGGCATGTCGTCGGGCTTCTTGAAGGCCCAGTAGTAGGAGGCGAAGGCGCCGGCCAGCGTCACCTGGCCCAGCGCGATGACGAAGTTGGCGAGCCAGAAGAACATGAAGACGTTGAAGAACTGCAGCACGATGAGGTACTTGTGATAGGCGGTCTCGCCGCCGTAGAACGCGAAGAGGCACTGGGCGTCGGGGCACAGCTTGGTGACGTTGCTGGTGTTGAAGGTCTGGAGAGGACACGGGACACAGACGGTCAAGCCAGAACGACCCCGTGGTCTCATCTCTGACGGGTTCTGAGCTTCCCGAGGTCCTCACCTCGGGCCTGCAGGTCTGCCCGGAGAACGGGCACGCGGACTCGTTGAACACCTTGTAAACAGCCTCGTTGGAGGTGGACAGGAAGCTGCGGGTCGCCGCTAAGGAAAGGCCATTTTCCAAACCCGCATTTGGAAAAGGGACAAACTTTCTGTCCCTAAATCCAAACCAGGCTCCGCTTCACTCTCCCCAAGCTCCCACTGCTGCTCTTCCACCCCAGGGTTTGTTTTGGGTCAAACCGCAGAGATTCAAGGTGGATCCGCAAGCAGATCCTGCTCCGTGCCTGGGGAGACGCTGGGAACAGCGGGAGGATGAGGAAGAGGGTGAGGAAGAGGAAAGGATACACGGCAGTGCTGGCCCAGTAGGCGATGCAGAGGCACAGCAAGAAGAAGGTGCACAAGGGGAACAGCAGCGACGACATGATGTGACCGACGGCCCTGCGAGAAGGTGGTTAAACCCTGGTTAAACCCTGGTAAAAAACCCCAGTTAAACCCCAGTAAAACCCCAATAAAACCCCAGTTAAACCCTGGTTAAACCCTGGTTAAAAACCCAGTTAAACCCTGGTTAAAAACCCCAGTTAAACCCCAGTTAAACCCTGGTTAAAAACCCCAGTTAAACCCCAGTTAAACCCCAGTTAAACCCCGGTTAAAAACCCCAGTTAAACCCCAGTTAAACCCCGGTTAAAAACCCCAGTTAAACCCCAGTTAAACCCCGGTTAAAAACCCCAGTTAAACCCCAGTTAAACCCTGGTTAAAAACCCCAGTTAAGCCCCAGTTAAACCCTGGTTAAAAACCCCAGTTAAACCCCAGTTAAACCCCGGTTAAACCCAGTTAAACCCTGGTTAAAAACCCCAGTTAAACCCCAGTTAAACCCTGGTTAAAAACCCCAGTTAAACCCCGGTTAAACCCCAGTTAAACCCCAGTTAAACCGTGGTTAAAAACCCCAGTTAAACCCAGTTAAACCCCGGTTAAACCCCAGTTAAACCCCATTTAAACCCCAGTTAAACCCCAGTTAAACCCAGTTAAAGCCTGGAGCGACGGGCGCAGCCAGACCTGCTGGCCTCCTTGATGAGCGCGATGGCGATGAGGATCCTCTTGCGCAGGAAGATGAGCAGCAGGACGATCACCAGCTCCAGCACGCACAGGATGATCACTGGGAGGGGAAGGGAGCCCCAGGCAGGGTGAGGGCCACCTCCACCTTCCCCGGGGCACCGAAATCTCCTCCCGGGAACTGCCCCACGTGGGACTCAGATTCAGTCAAATAACAAAACTGGGAGTTTCTAGCCAGGCAAAAAGCCTGGGAAACAGCTGGAGAAGAATGTAAATAATTCTTTATCTCTCTCGTTTTTCACATTGTTTGTAGTTATGTTCTATCGCTGTGCGTCAAGCACTTTGGGTTGTTTTCACTTCGGGACCAATGGAGTTGGTCCTCACGAAGCTCTGCATAAAAGAGCGGTGTATTTTGAATAAATCGGAGTTTTACTCTCAGCAGCTTCTGATCACTCTTCTCATTCCCCTCCTGCCTCGACAGCGACAGCCCCACGGCCGGGCCCCCAGCAAAGTCCCTCCTTTAGGTGGAAACAGCCCAAAAATCCGCTGTGACCCCCACTTGGGTCCCACCCCAATCCCGGAGGAGGACGGACGCTTACGGAACGCCAGCCACGTCTGCCGCAGGTGGAGGTACACACGGAGGTCGGTCTGGAAGCCCAGGTCTGCCAGGGACACGTCCGACCCCGCTTCCCCTTTCAGCTTGGCGTATTCCATGTAACAGTGGAAGATTCCTGCGGCAAAAAGCAGAAAAATCGTCTTTTTTCGCATGGGAAAAGCAGAGGAGAGAGAGGGGAGGAGACAGCCGGAAGGACGCGGCGCGTGAACTTCCGCAGCGCAAATCCCACTGGAAACGGGGAAAGGAGAACTGGGGGGAAAAAAATCCATGGAGAGGCTCCCAGGCCTCCCTGCTCACCGTATCCCAACACCAGGATCACCATCACGATCATCACCCACACCATGACCCCGGCCAGGAAGCGCAGCAGGACGATGAAGATGAGGCTGGCCACCATGGCAATGACGAGGCCTCTGTGGGAGGAAGGCAGACGTGGGTCACCACCCCCCAAACATCCCCCAAACGTGGGGAGAACCACGGCGGGGACGGACGGGGGGGATGTCGCTGCTCGCGCTCCGCTCGGTGGAAACGGTGGGAAAGCCGGGGCTTGTGAGAATTGTGAATTTTGGGGGATTTTCTGGGGGTTTGAGGAAGGGTTTAGGCAATTTTGGGGGGGGTTTCCGGACATTTTGGACGGTTTTGGGACACTTCAGGGGGTCTTGGGGGATTCTGGGACGCTTTGGGGTATTTTGGGAGGTTTTGGGGTATTTGGGGACATTCTCAGGGATTTTTGGGACATTCTAGGGGATTTTTGGGTTAGGTCTTGGGGAATTTTGGGATGTTTTGGGTGATTTTGGGACATTTTAGAGGATTTTTTTTTCCCCTGAGTTTTGCCCCATGCTCACATGATGATCCAGTACCAGGACACCGTGTAATCCTCGAAGATCTTCATGGCCAGCTGCCGGGTCTCCAGCACCACGTTGGCTTTTCTGCAAGGAAACGGGGAAACGCCGGTGGAGCCGGAGCCGAGGAGACCCCAAAACCAAAACAAAAATTCAACAATTCTCCACAGCAAACTCCCCGGAGCTGCCCGCACTGCGCCTCCTTTACCTCCCTCCGCTTTTCCAAGGTGGGATTTTGGGGCAGGATTTCTGACACCTCAAAAAGGCAAAGGAACGCTAACGAAGCAGCTCTTAACGAGGACCACCAGCCCAGGGGGACTCACTTGGCTCCTTCCAGCAGCTCGGTGACGTTCCTGCGGCGCCCGTGGCCGTCGTCGTAGGTGGTCTCGTTGCCCACCATGATGACGCCCTTCTTGGCCTGGATGGCTGGGAAGCATCTCCGTGCCACTGGCGGGACAAGAGCGGGGCGGCTCAGCTGGGAAAACGGGAATCCCAAACCAACCCCCAAAACCGCCTCCGAAAATCCCCGAGATGTAACCAGCGGATCGTTAAACGCGCTCCTCGCTAATTGCGGACGTACGCGGGGTGCTGGGAATGAGCATGGCCGGACACTCCTTGTCCCGCAGCACCTCCAGGGGAGCCTGGGTGGGGACAACGAGCCGGACGTCAGCGCTCCGGGCGGGAATGGCCCCGCGGCACGGCAGCGCCGACCCCACCACCCACCGACCCCACCACCCACCTTCTACACCGACCCCACCACCCACCTTCTACACCGACCCCACCACCCACCTTCTACACCGACCCCACCACCACCCACCTTCTACACCGACCCCACCACCACCCACCTTCTACACCGACCCCACCACCACCTTCTACACCGACCCCACCACCACCCACCTTCTTGGAGCTCTTGGACTCGGGGGTGCAGAAATTCCGGTAATATTGCAGCGCCGCCGCATTCCCGTGGGCCGTCAGGTAGGTCATGTACCGGTCGGGGCATTTGCTGACGCAGATCTGCACGGGAGGGGGACACGGGGGGGCTGCAGGACCGAATTCCGTGGGGAATTTGGGGAACGCCGCGATCTGGGGGGGCTGCAGGACCGAATTCCGTGGGGAATTTGGGGAACGCCGCGGTCTGGGGGAGCTGCAGGACCGAATTCCGTGGGGAATTTGGGGAACGCCGCGATCTGGGGGGGCTGCAGGACCGAATTCCGTGGGGACGGTCCGGGGGGGCTGCAGGCCCGAATTCCGTGGGGAATTTGGGGAACGCCACAGTCCAGGGGGCTGCAGGACCGAATTCTGTGGGGAATTTGGGGAATGCCGCAGTCTGGGGGGGCTGTGGGGAATCTGGGGAACGCCACGTACCTGCGTGGTCGGGCACTGGAATTCCAGCAGCACCAGCGGGCTGGCGCACTTGACGATGTCAAAGTAAAAAAGGAAAGGTTTTTTCCTGCAAAACAAACCAAAACCGCCCGGTTTGGGGAACCCCCGCCACGCTGCCCCAAGGAATTGGGGGTCTCTCCCGCGGCACGTCCGCACTCACTCGTTGGGGGTCCCCTGCTGCCCGCAGAACTGCCCGCGGCTGTCCGTGGGGTGGATCACCTTCCGGGGGTCCCCGTGGGTCCAGGCTGGGGGGCACAGGACGATGAGGATGGGGTCACCCCCCTCTGCAGCCCCCAGACCCCTCCTGAGCCCCCCAGGACCTACCCACGACGCCGACCACCACGTAGCCCACGATGGCCACCACCAGCAGGACGCAGCAGACGATGTCGGTGCAGCCCCTGCCCGGGGGACAGCAAGGTTGGGGACCCTCGGGTTGGGGACCCTCGGGTTGGGGACCCTCGGGTTGGGGACATGGATTTGGGGACCCTCAGGTTGGGGACCCTCGGTTTGGGGACCCTTGGGTTGGGGACCCTCGGTTTGGGAACATGGATTTGGGGACCCTCGATTTGGGGATCCTGGATTTGGGGACCCTGGATTTGGGGAGGATACAGGATTTGGGGAGGACACAGGATTTGGGGACCCTGGATTTGGGGACCCTCAATTGGGGACCCTGGATTTGGGGAGGACACAGGATTTGGGGTCACCGTGGGGCTCTCCTTACCTGTCATAGATGGGACCTTTGAAAGTCGGGTCATATTTCTGTGGCGTTCCTGTGGGGAGGAAGAGGAACGGCCATGGGGAACGCTGGGGCGGGAGGAAGGCTCTCCTCATCCTCCTCGCCCCGCAGCGTGCAGTGGGGAGCCAAACGCTGCCCCCAAAAAAACCATAAAAATCCTCGGGATAAGCGTGATCAGGAGGAAAAACATCTGCGGGCTGGGAAACGACGATTCCCTTGGAAAACTCATTTCCACAGGTGGCTCTGCCCAAAAACCTCCCCGGGCCGTGGCCAGAGGGACCCCAAATCCCAGGGAAACACCCCAAAATCCCAGGGGAACACCCCAAATCCCAGAGGAACACCCCAAATCCCACAGAAACACCCCAAATCCCACAGAAACACCCCAAATCCCACAGAAACACCCCAAATCCCAGGGAAACACCCCAAATCCCAGGGAAACACCCCAAATCCCACTGAAACACCCCAAATCCCAGGGAAACACCGAATTCCATGGGAGCCCCGAGGAGCCGCGGGGGCAGAGCGGGGCCGGGGCGGCGGTACCGGGCGGGGGTCGGGGGGTCACCGGGGGTCCCGGCGAGCCCCGGCCCCGCCCCGGCGCCGCTCTGCCCCCGCGGCTCCGCTTTATTTTTAGGGTGGGAACGGAGCCAGCGTGGGAGCGGCCCGGGGCAGGGGGGCCGAGCATTTAGGGTGGATTTTGGGGGGGGGGGAGCCCCGTTTGGGATATTTTGGGGGGGGTCGAACCCCCCCTCTCCAAACCCCCCTAAAGAGCAGCGCGGGGGGGTCAGAACCGAACCAGAACCGATCCCGGGACAGCCCCGGGGCCGCCGATCCCGGTGACGCCCCAGAACCGCCGGAGCCGGTTTTTGTCCCGGCGGTCGGGCCGGTTCTGCGGCTGCCGGGGAGCTTCACCCCAAAACCGCCTCAGCCCCCCTCCCCAAAACCCCCACCCCCCCCCAGCCCCCCAAACCGCGGGACCCCCGTGCGGGGCGCGGCCGCTTTTGCTTTCGCTTCGCTTCGCCCTTTCTTGCCCCGTTTTCCGCCCCTTTTGGGGCTGTTTTCCGCCTTTCCCCGCGGCCCTTTCGCTCCTCCCGCGCCCAACCGCCGGTCCCCACCCGCAGGAACCCCCAAAACCTCCGTGAACCCCCAAAAGAGCCGCCGGGATCCCCGAACGGAGCCCCCGACCCCCGGCGAGCCCCCAAAGACCCCCGAGCGAGCCCCGGCCGCGGTTCTGACCCCCCAAATCCGCCCCCGAGCCCCCCGCCGCCGTTACCGTGTTTGCCGTAGTAGTTGTCCCCGTGTCCCCCCATCCCGGCGATCCCCCGGTCCCGCCGCCGTCCCCGCTCCGTCCCCGTTCGCCCCGGGCCGGGCCGGGCTGGGCTGGGCCGGGCTGGGCAGGGCTCAGCCGACCCCGCCTCCGTCACGGCCCCCCCAAAATCCGCCCTCCGGGGCACGGACGGGGCCCGAACCCCGCCCCGGAGAGAGCGCGGCGGGGCGGGCACCGGCACCGGGGGGCACCGGGGGGCTCCGGGGGGCTCCGGGGGGCTCCGGGGGGCACCGGCGAGACCTGGCTCCGTCTCCGGGTGGCACCGGAGGGAACCCGGGGCAGCTCCGATCCCGGGGTTACCGGGGAATTCAGGCACCGGGGCAAACCGAGGAGCTGCGGCTCCGGTACCGGGAAGCCCCGGGGCGCGGTGCGGCCCCGCCAAGCCCAGTGCAGAGGTCGGGAACGGGCGGGAAATGTCCGGTTCCTGCCGGGAAGGGCCGGCGGGCGGTGCCCGCTCCCCCCGCGGTGACGCCGGTCCCATCCCCGCCCCGGTTCTCCTTCGGTAAATAAATCACCGGGAGCGGCGGCGGCGGCGGCGGCGCCCATAGGCCGCCGGTGATGTCAGGGCTGCGGTCCCCCCCCGCGCACCGGGAACAAAGGGCGGCCCGGGGGGAGCCCCGCCCGCGGAAAAACGGGGGGCACGGAGGGTCCCGCCGGTCGGGGGCTCCGGTGCCCGCGGGGAGGGGTCCCGGCGCTGCCCCCCGTGTCCCTCCGTCCCTCCGGTGTCGGAGCGGGCACCGGGGACCCCCCCCGCGGCCTGACCCCGAACCCCCGACACAGCCCGGAGCCCCCCCAGGAGCCCCCAAACCGTGCGGGACCCCAAACCACCCGCGCCGCCGCCTCGGGGGTGTCCCGGGGCTGCACGGGGGTCCCCAAAACGGGGGTCCCCAAAACGGGGGTCCCCAAACGGGGGTCCCCAAAACGGGGGTCCCCAACGCGGGGGTCCCCAACGCGGGGGTCCCCAAAAGGGGGTCCCCAAAGGCGGGGGTGCCCAAAGGCGGGGGTCCCCAAAACGGGGGTCCCAAACGTGGGGGTCCCCAAAACGGGGGTCCCCAAAGGCGGGGGTCCCCAACGCGGGGGTCCCAAACGCGGGGGTCCCTAAACCTGCGTGTCTTCAGACTTGGGGGTTCTCAAACCCCCAAAACCAGGGGGACCCCCAAGCCTGAAGGGTCTGAAACCCCTGCGGGTCCCCCCAAACCCCAGGATCTCCGAGCCGGGGGTCTCCAAAACCCTGAGGGTGCCCAAAATCTGGGAGACCCCAAATCCGGGGGTCCCAAATCCGGGGGTCCCAAATTCGGGGGTCCGGGGCGGGTGCTCGGTACCGTAATCGCCGTCCGGGTCCCTCCTGCCCGCGGGCCGGTCCATGGCGGCTCCCCCGGTGGTCCCGGAGCCCCCCGGTATCCCCCGGAGCCCCCCGGTATCCCCCGGTAGCCCCGGGCTGTGTCTGCGGGCGGGGCGGCTCCGGGCCCGGCCCTCAGCACCGATCCGCCCCCGGGGCCGGGCCCGGGGCCGTCCCGCCCCGCCCGGGGCTCCGGTGGGACCGGGGGATGCGGGGGGGGGGGTCCTGGGGGTGCGGGAATTCGCCGGGGTGGGGAATTGGAAGGTGCCCGAGGGGAATTCGGGGTCCGGGGGTCTGGGGGTGCAGGGACCACCCAGGGTGGGGAACCGGATGGTTGGGGGGTGCGGAGACCCCTCATGGGGGGCCACAGGGGGTCTGGGGGCTGCAGCGACCCCCAGGGTGGGGAATACGGGAGTCAGGGGCTGCGGGGACCCCCCAAGAGAATGAGTTTGGGGGTGCAGAGACCCCTCCCCAGGGTGGGGCACGCAGATATCCAGAGGGGTCCCAAACCCACCCCTCCTTTAGAACCGCCTCGGGGTCCCGCCCACGCCCCCCACCCCAAAACTGTGGGGTCGGGGGGAGGCGGCGGAAGCCCCCGCGGGGTGGGCGAGCCTGGGGGGTCTCCCCGAGCAGCGGGGCGGGACCCCCGGCGGGGGGAGCGGCGCTGCGCCGTCCCCTTTAAGGCCCCGCGGCGCCCGTGGGCGCAGCCGCTCACCTGGGCAGGTGACGGAGGTGACGGTGCCGCGCCATGGCCGCCTCCTCCCTCTTCATCCTGGACCTCAAGGGGAAGGTGAGACCCCCGCCAGCACCCCAAAACCCCCCGGGGGACACTCCACTGTCCCCTCTGTCCCTAAAGGCCCGCCGAGCTCAGTGGCAGTGACCCCCGTGACCCCGAGGATTTTGGGGGGGGTTCTCCACGTGTGACCCCCCCCCCACACACACACACACCACCACGACCACCCCAAACCCCACCGGGGGTGGGGGTCTCCCACTGTCCGGGCTGGGGGTCACCCCACTGTCCCCTCTGCCCTTGAAGGTCAGCCAAGGTCAGTGGCGGTGACCCCGCCGTGACCCCGAGGTGGGGTGAGCAATTTGGGGAGGGGGTCCCCATTGCTGACCCCCCACCCACCCCGTCACCCCACAGCCGCTGATCAGCCGCAACTACAAGGGGGACGTGGGGCCGGGGGAGATCGAGAACTTCATGGGGGTCCTGCTGCAGCGGGAGGAGGAGGGGACCCTGACGCCCGTCCTGAGCCACGGCCACGTCCACTTCCTGTGGATCAAACACGCCAACCTCTACCGTATCCTTCCGGGACCCCGCCCCGGGACCCCCCCCCGCCCCGGGACCCCCCGCTGCCCCCCGTTTTCCTTGACCCCCGCAGTGGTGGCCACCACCAAGAAGAACGGCAATGCCTCCCTGGTCTTCTCCTTCCTCTACAAGGTGGTGGAGGTGAGCTGGGCTCTGGGCGAGGGTCCGGGGGGTGAGGACCACCCTGATTTGGGGTCTCCCATCGCCTGGGGGGTAACGGAGGTGCCGGGACCCCTTCCCAAGGTGTTCTGCGAGTACTTCAAGGAGCTGGAGGAGGAAAGTGTCCGCGACAACTTCGTCATCGTCTACGAGCTGCTGGACGAGCTGATGGACTTTGGGTTCCCGCAGACCACGGACAGCAAAATCCTGCAGGAGTGAGCGTGGGAGGGGAGACCTGGGATCCCGCTCCCGTCCCGCTGCCGTCCCACCCCAATCCTTGTTCCCACCCCAATCCTCGTTCCCACCCCAATCCTCGTTCCCACCCCAATCCTCATTCCCACCCAAACCTCCATCCCACCCCAATCCTCATCCCTATCCCACCCCAATCCTCATTCCCACCCCAATCCCGCTCCCCTTCCCACCCCAATCCTCATTCCAACCCCAATCCTCATTCCCATCCCCATCCCCATCCCCAATCCCCATCCCCGTGCCCCCCTCCCGTGCCAGGACCCCTCCCCAGCGCGCCCCCCCACCCCCATCCCCGTGCCCGGACCCCATCCCCCTCCCGGTGCCCGGACCCCTGCCCACCCCGTGCCCCCGCAGGTACATCACGCAGGAGGGGAACAGGCTGGAGCGGGGCGGGGGGCGCGTGCCCAGCACGGTCACCAACGCCGTGTCCTGGCGCTCCGAGGGCATCCGCTACAAGAAGAACGAGGTCTTCATCGACGTGGTGGAGGCCGTCAACCTGCTGGTGGGGGCACGGGGGCACAGGGGGTTAGGGGGGCATGGGGGGCACGGGGGGCACAGGGGGTTAGGGGGGCACGGGGGGCACGGGGGGCATGGGGGGTTAGGGGGGCATGGGGGGTTAGGGGGCATGGGGGGCATGGGGGACATGGGAACACAGGGGGCACGGGGGGCACACGGGGGGCACAGGGGGCACAGGGGGCACGGGGGGTATGGGGGGCATGAGGGGCATGGGGGGCACGGGGGGCATGGGGGGCACGGGGGGTTAGTGGTGTTAGGGGGGAACGGGGGGCACGGGGGGCATGGGGGGCTCAGGGGGCATGGGGGGCATGGGGGGCACAGGAGCGAGATTTGGGTGGGAATGAGGATTGGGGTGGGAAAGAGGATTGAGGTGGGATAGGGATGGGGATTGGGGTGGAAAAGGGATTGGGATTGGGGTGGGAACGAGGTTTGGGGTTGGAATAAGAATTGGGATGGGAATGAGGATTGGGCTGGGATAGGGATGAGGATGGGGCTGGGATGTGCTGGGAATTGGGGTGGGAATGAGGATGGGGTGGGAATGAGGATGAGGATGGGGCTGGGATGCGCTGGGGACGAGGAAGGCTCTGCCGCCGCCGGGGCTCCGGCCGTGGGGCTCTGGCTGTGGGGCCGGTGCCAGGGCCAGGCTGGGCCCGGTGCCAACTCCCAGCCGTGCCGTGCCGGGCCGTGCCGTGCCCGCAGGTGAGCGCCAGCGGCAGCGTGGTGCTGAGCGAGGTGCTGGGCACCATCAGGCTGAAGGTTTTCCTGTCGGGGATGCCGGAGCTGCGCCTCGGCCTCAACGACCGCGTCCTCTTCGAGCTGACGGGCCGTGAGTGCCGGGCGGGGGGCTCAAACCCGTGTCCCCCCTCCCCCAAATCCCCCCTGAGCCCCCCGCTGCCTCCCAGGGGGGAAGAACAAGTCGGTGGAGCTGGAGGACGTGAAGTTCCACCAGTGTGTCCGTCTGTCCCGCTTCGACAACGACCGCACCATCGCCTTCATCCCCCCCGACGGCGACTTCGAGCTCATGTCCTACCGCCTGCACACCCAGGTGGGCTCGGGGGGGCTGGGACCCCCAACTGGGGGCTGGGACCCCCTCCTGGGGGCTGGGATCCCCTCCTGGGGCTGGGACCCCCAACGGGGGGCTGGGACCCACAACCAGGGGCTGAAAACCTGGGCTGGGGGCTGCAAATTCACTCTGGGGGGCTGCAAACCCACTCTGGGGGGCTGCAAATTCACTCTGGGGGCTTCATGGCCACATTCTGAGGTGCTGGGACCCCTTTCCCTGGGGTTGGGACCCCTGTCCGTGTGTCCAGCACCCCTGTCCGTGTGCCCGGGACCCTTTTGGGGGGACGGGGACCCCTTTTGGGGGGATGGGGACCCCTTTTGGGGGGACGGGGACCCCCGGGGTGACCCCCGTGCCCCCCCAGGTGAAGCCGCTGATCCTGATCGAGTCCATCATCGAGAAGTTCTCCCACAGCCGCCTGGAGATCCTGGTCAAGGTGAGTCTGGGGTCCCCCCGCGCCCCGGGGACCCCCAGCCGGGCCGTCACCCCCCGTGTCCCCCCAGGCCAAGGGCCAGTTCAAGAAGCAGTCGGTGGCCAACGCGGTGGAGATCGCGGTGCCGGTGCCGAGCGACGCCGACTCCCCGAAGGTGAAAACCACGGCGGGGTCGGCGCGGTACGTGCCCGAGAGGAACGTGCTGCTCTGGAGCATCAAATCCCTCCCGGTGAGCAGCGCCCGGGGGCACAAACCTGTCCTGGGGGGTCCTCAATAACCCCCAAATCTGTCCTGGGGGGGCACAAACCTGTCCTGGGGTGTCCCCTGTGTCCCCAAACCTGTCCTGGGGGGGCCCTGTGACCCCAAATCTGTCCTGGGGGGCCCCAAACCTGTCCTGGGGGGTCCCTGTGACCCCAAATCTGTCCTGGGGCGTCCCCTGTGACCCCCAGCCCTGTCCCCCATCCCAGGATCCCCCAACCCTGTCCTGGGGTGTCCCCTGTGTCCCCAATCCCTGTCCTGGGGTGTCCCACCTGTCCTGGGCTGTTCCCTGTGACCCCCAAATCTGTCCTGAGGGGTCCCCTGTGTCCCCAAATCTGTCCTGGGCTGTTCCCTGTGACCCCCAAATCTGTCCTGGGGGGTCCTCAGTGACCCCAAATCTGTCCTGGGGTGTCCCCCCTGCCCCCCAACCCCCGCCCCCCACCCTGGGCTATCCCCCCGTGTCCCCCCCAATTCGGGGGTGCCCGCGGGGGTCCCCACGAGCCGCTGGGGGGTCGCAGGGGGGGAAGGAGCACCTGATGCGCGCCCACTTCGGGCTGCCCAGCGTGGAGAAGGAGGAGGAGGAGGGGCGGCCGCCCATCGCCGTCCGCTTCGAGATCCCCTATTTCACCGTCTCGGGCATCCAGGTGCCCCGGGGGGGTCCCGGGGGGCTCGGGGGGCTCGGGGGGTGCCGGGAGGGGTCCCGGGAGGGGTCCCGGGGGGCTCAGGGGGGTCCGGGCAGGCGTCCTGGGGGGCTCAGGGGGTCCAGGGAGGGGTCCCGGGGGGCTCGGGGGGGTCCCGGGAGGGGTCCCGGTGGGCTCGGGGACAGGATGAGGGAGGGCAGTGGGGTCTCCAGGGGAGTTTGGGGTCCCCGGGAGGGTCCCCGGGAGGTTTGGGGACAGGATGGGGGTGGGACAGGCAGAGTCCGGGGGTCCCGGGGGTTTTTGGGGGGAGGATGGGGGGGCACTCCGGGGGTTTTGGGGTGTGGGTAACGCCCCGGGTGCCCCCCCAGGTGCGGTACATGAAGATCATCGAGAAAAGCGGATACCAGGCGCTGCCCTGGGTGCGCTACATCACCCAGAGCGGGGGTGAGCAGCACCCCGGGACCCCCACCCGGGACCCCCAAATCCCCCCGGGACCCCCAAATCCCCCTGAGAGAGAACCCCAAATCCCCCCGGGACCCCCAAATCCCCCTGAGACCCCCAAATCCCCCTGAGAGAGACCCCCAAATCCCCCTGAGAGAGAACCCCAAATCCCCCCGGGACCCCCAAATCCCCCTGAGAGAGACCCCCAAATCCCCCTGAGACCCCCAAATCCCCCCGGGACCCCCAAATCCGCCTGAGACCCCCAAATCCCCCCGGGACCCCCAGCCCCGGCCCCACCTCAGCTCCTCTCTCTGTTCTTACAGATTACCAGATCCGCACCAGCTGAGGGGGTCTCCCATGGAACCCCCGACCCCCACGGACCCCCACGGACCCCCACGGACCCCCCCCCCATATGGAGTTCCCCCAAAACCCCCCAAAATCCCCTCCCCTGCCCCAATAAAGACAGAGCTGAGCCCGTGTCCGGCTGGTCTGGGGGTGCAAACAGAGCGGGGGGGTCCCGGTTCCCGTTTGGGGGTCCCGGTTCCCGTCTGGGGGTCCCGGTTCCAGTTTGGGGGTTCCGGTTCCAGTTTGGGGGTCCCGGTTCCAGTTTGGGGGTCCCGGTTTGGGGGTCCCGGTTCCCGTTTGGGGGTCCCGGTTCCCGTTTGGGGGTCCCGGTTGAGAGGGGCGCGGTGGGGCCCACTCAGTTCTTCGGGCGCCGTTGCCCTTTTAAGAGCGGAAGGGGCGGGGCCGAGCGGGCGCGGGAGGGGCGGGGCGATGGCGTCACGTGGCGGCGGGAACCGGAAGTGGCGGCGGTCACGTGGGCGGCCATGGCGGAGCCCGAGCTCCGCGTGAACGCCGCGTTCGCGGAGCGCTACGGGCGGTACCGGCGGCGGGAGGAGCTGCAGCGGCGTGAGACACCGGGAGCGGGCCGGGAACGGGGGAACCGGGCGGGGGGAGCTGCAGCGGCGTGAGACACCGGGAGCGGGCCGGGAGCGGGACCGGGAACGGGGGAACCGGGGGGAACCGGGAGCGGGAGGAGCTGCGGGGCCGGGAAAGCAGAAAACGGCACAAGGAACGGGAGTGGGGTGGGAAACGGGAGCGGGAACGGGCCCGGAAAGGGAGAACGGGACCAGGAGCGGGACCGGGGATCGGGGAGGAACCGGTGCTGAGCGGCTCCGGTGCCCCCGGTACCGGCGCTGAGCCGCTCCGGTGCCCCCGGCAGTGCGGGACCGCTACGGGGACAGCGGGGACAGCACCGACAGCGACAGCGACAGCTCCGAGTCCAGCGGGGACGATGTGGTGAGCTCCGGGGGGGGTCCCGGTGCTCCCGGTGCTCCCGGAGCCGCCCCTGACCCCCCCCGCCCTCCCCAGCCCCGGGACCCCCGGCAGGACCGGGAGTTTTACCGGACGTTGGCGCTGCTGAAGACGCGCGACCCCCGAATTTACCGGGAGGACTCCACGTTCTTCACCGGCCACGGTACCGGAACCCCAAAACCGGGGGGGGGGGGGGGGGCCCAAAACCGGGGGGGGGTCCCAAAACCGGGGAGGGCCCGAAACTGATCCCGGGCACCCCCAGAGTCGGCGGAGGAAGATGATGATGAAGATGAGGATGATGAGGATGAAGATGATGAAGAGCGCCCGGCCCGGCCGATGTTCCTCAGGGATTACGAGCGGAAAGTGGTGCTGGAGAAGGACGGGTGAGGAGGGGGATTTTTGGGGGGATTTTGGGTTTTTTTGGGGGGCATTTTTGGGGGATTTTTCAAGATTTTTGGGGGGATTTTTTGGGGGATTTTTGGGAGATTTTTCAGGGATTTTTTTGGGATTTTTGGGGGGTTTTTTTGGGATTTTTGGGGGATTTTTCGAGATTTTTGGGGGGTTTTTTTAGGGTATTTTTGGGGGGGTATTATGGGATTTTTGGGGTTTTTTTCGGGGGGGTTTGGGGGATTTTTTGAGATTTTTGGGGGGATTTTTTGGGATTTTTGGGAGATTTTTCAGGGGGTTTTTGGGGTTTTTTTGGGGATTTTTGGGTGGTTTTGGGGAATTTTTTTGGGGTTTTGGGGGATTTTTTTGGGGGATTTTTGGGGAGGTTTTGGGGGATTTTTTGAGATTTTTGGGGGGTTTCTTGGGGGATTTTTGGGGGGTCCTGAGCCCCCCCCGACCGCCCCCTCCCCGCAGGAAATTCGTGGACGAGGAGGATGAGGAGGATGAGGAGGCGGCGGCCAAGAGGAGGAAGGTGAGGGGAGGTCGGACCCCCCCCAAATCCCCCGAGACCCCCCCAAAATCCCCGAGACCCCCCAAAATCCCCCAAAATCTTTCCCCCCCAGGCCGAGGCGTCCCCCAGCTACGCCGAGGAGCAGCGGGCGCTGAAGGAGAGGTGAGGGGGGTCCCGGGGGGCTTTGGGGGGCTCCGGGATTTTGGGGGGCCCCAGGGGGTGACCCTGGACCCCCCCCACCCCCCCACAGCTTCAGAGCCTTCGTGGAGGAGGAGGAGGAGGAGGAGGAGGAAGGGGGGGGAGGGGCCCTGCTCAGACCTCGGATCCGGAGCCGCGAGGAGAAGGTGAGGGGGGGTCCCGGGGGGTTTTGGGGGTCCCGGGGGAGGTTTAGGGGTCCTGGGGGGGAGATTTTGGGGTCCCGGGGAGGTTTGGGGGGTCCTGGGTGAGTTTGGGGAAGGTTTGGGGGTCCCAGGGGGGGTTTGGGGATCCCAGAGGGGTCCCAGGGGAGGTTTATGGGGGGTCCTGGGGAGGTTTGGAGGTCCCGGGAGGGAGATTTTGGGGTCCTGGGGAGGTTTGGGGGTCCTTGGGGGAGATTTGGGGGTCCCTGGGTGGGTTTTGGGGGTCTCTGGGTGGGTTTTGGGGATCCCTGGGTGGGTTTTGGGGATCCCTGGGGAGGTTTGGAGGTCCCTGGGTGGGTTTTGGAGGTCTTTGGGTGGGTTTTGGGGGTCCCTGGGGAGGTTTTGGGGTCCCTGGGTGGGTTTTGGGGGTCCCTGGGTGGGTTTTGGGGATCCCGGGGAGGTTCTGGGGGGTCCCTGGCTGAGTTTTGGGGTCCCCCAGGCCCAGGAGGAGGATCAGTACCTGCGGTGGCTGCGGGGCCAGGCCGAGCCCCCCCCGGAGCCTCTGCAGGACCTGGTGAGGGGCTGGGGGGGTTTGGGGGGGCTCTGGGGGGGGTTTGGGGGGTCTGGGGGTGGGTTTGGGGGGTACCGGGGGGTGCCCCCCAACTCTGAACCCCCAAATTTCCCCCCCAGGAGCCGCTGCAGAAGTTCTGGTCGGACCCGGGGCTGGAGCCGGGCGAGCGATTCCTGCGGGATTTCCTGCTGGGATGCGGCCAGGAGGAGGAGGAGGAGGGGGAGGAAGGGTGAGAGGGACCCCCCGACCCCTCCCCAATATGGCTGCAGGCCCCCCAAATCCTCTGGGGCCCCCCCAAACCTCCTGGAGCCCCCCAAACCCTCCCTGGACACCCCCTGGGAGCCGCTCCTGGAGCAGCCTCGGGATGAGGAGTGGGGACCCCCAGGGACCCCCCCGGACCCCCAAAAGGGTGGGCGGGACCCCCAGGCCCCTCCAGAGCCCCCCCAAACCCCCCAGGGCCCCCCTGGAGGACTCCTCGGACGAGGGGGAGCAGTTCCTGCAGCGGCAGCAGGACTTCGAGCGCCGCCACAATTTCCGCTTCGAGGAGCCGGGGGCGGCCCAGGTGCGGGCGGGGGGCGAAAATTGGGGGTCAGGGGGGGCGAAAATTGGGGGTGGGGGGCAAAGGTTGGGGGTCAGGGGGGTGAAAATTGGGGGTGGGGGGGCGAAAATTTGGGGTCAGGGGAGTGAAAATTGTGGGTCAGGGGCAAAAAATTGTGGGGTGGGGGGTAAAAAGTTGAGGGGTGGGGGTAAATTTGGGGGATGGGGGCGAAAATTGGGGGGTGGGGCACATTCCCCATTTTGGGGGGTGATTTTGGGGTCACACTCCCCATTTTTAGGGGTTAATTCTGGGGTCACACTCCCCATTTTAGGGGGTTAATTTTGGGGGCACACTCCCCATTTTAGGGGGTTAATTTTGGGGTCTCACTCCCCATTTTTAGGGGTTAATTTTGGGGTCCCACTCCCCAGTTTTGGGGGTTAATTTTGGGGTCACATTCCCCATTTTAGGGCTCAATTTTGGGGTCTCACTCCCCATTTTTGGGGCGTCCCTGACCCCTTTCCCCCTCCCCAGATCCAAACCTTCCCCCGCCACGTCCCCACCTCGGTGCGGCGCCGGGACGAGCGGCGAAAGGAGAAGCGGGAGCAGACCCGCGAGAGGAAGAGGAAGGTGAGGAAGGCCCGGGGCCGGTTTTGGGGGTCCCCCACGCCCCCCACCACCCCAATTTTGTGTGTTTTCCCCCCCAGGAGCGGGCCCGGCGCAGGGAGGAGCTGAAGCAGCTGAAGAACCTGAAGCGGCAGGAGCTGGCCGCCCGCATCGCGCGCATCCGCCACGCCTCCGGCTCCGCAGCCTTCGGCCTCAGCCGCTCCCTGCTCCTCGAGGACTTCGACCCCGCCCGCCACGACCGCCTGATGGCCGTGGGTGCCCCCCCGGACCCCCCAAAATCCCCCCAAATTCCCGCTGAGCCCCCCTTTGTGCCGGCAGGAATGGTTCGGCGAGGAGTACTACGGGCGGGAGGAGGAGGAGAAGCCGCAGTTCGAGGAGGAGGAAGGGCTGGATGGTGAGTGGGGGGTCCCCCGGGGGTCCCCAATGTGGGTGTGGGTGCCTGGCCCCCTCCCCAGCCCGGTGTCCCCCCAAAATTCCGGCAGATGATTGGAACTGGGACGCCTGGACCGGGCGGGAGGAGCCCCCGAGGGAGCCGCACTGCGAGGACCCCGACTTCGTGGTGAGGAGGAGGACGAGGAGGAAGAGACCCCCCCCAATTTGGAATCAGACTTCCCCCAATTTGGAATCAGACCCCCCCTCAAAACTGTGCCCACCCCCCATTGAAATGAGCCCCCCCAGGCTGAGCCCAGCACGGGGAGGAGGAGGAGGAGGAGGAAGAGGAGGACGGTGGGGAGGGGGTCCCCGTCCCCACCTGGGGGTGCAGCCCCCTCCCCACTGACCCCCCCCACAGATGGACGCCGATTACGTCCCCGAGGCCCCCCCAGACCCCGTGGCCCCCCCGGGCCGGGCCCCCCCCGAGGTGACCTTCGGGAGGAAGAGGAGGAAGACGCGGTTCCGGGAGGCGCTGGAGAGGGAGAAGCCCCCGTTCGACCCCGGTGGGCAGCGGGACCCCAAAATCCCTGAGATTCACCCCAAAATCCCTGAGATTCACCCCAAAATCTCTGAGATTCACCCCAAAATCCCTGAGATTCACCCCAAAACCCCTGAGATTGACCCCAAAAATCCCTGAGATTCCCCCCAAATATCCCTGAGATTCCCCCCAAATATCCCAATGCCCCCCCAAAGTCCTGATACCCCATAAATCCCAATAGTCCCCCAAATCCGGATCTCCCCCAAACCCCCGTGTCCCCCCCAGGAACGCCCCAAACCCAACTCAGGACCCCCCAAACCTCTCCTGGCACCCCCAAACCCCTCTAGGACCCCCCCCCAGGACCCCCCAAACCCCCCCAGGAACCCCCAGGCCCCCCCCCGGGACCTCCAAGGACCCCCTCCAAACCCCTCCTGGGAACCCCCAAACCCCTCTGGGACCCCCCAGGACCTCCCTCAAATCCCTCTGGGAACCCCCAAATCTCTCTGGGACCCCCCCAAACCCCCTTGGGACCCCACCACGCCCCCCCAAATCCCTCTGGGACCCCCCAGACCCCCCCAGATCCCTCAGGGACCCCCAGACCCCCCCAGATCCCTCAGGGACCCCCCAGACCCCCCCAGATCCCTCCGGGACCCCCCAGACCCCCCCATCCCCGCAGCCTCGGGCCCCTTTGAGCAGTACCTGGACGAGTTCTACGCTCTGGACTTCGAGGACGTGGTCGGGGACCTCCCGTGCCGCTTCAAGTACCGCCGGGTGCTGCCCTGCGACTTCGGCCTCACCACGGACGAGGTGCAGACCCCCCCCGGGAGCGCCGGGACCCCCCAAAACCTCCCCACCCTCCCACCCACCCCCCGTGTCCCCCCAGATCCTGGCGGCCGACGACAAAGAGCTGAACCGCTGGTGCTCCCTGCGCAAGACATGCATGTACCGGTGAGGGGGTTTGGGGGGCTCCCCGGGATCTGGGGGGGCTGACGGGCCCCCACCCGGGATTTTGGGGGGCTCACGGACCCCCCACCCCCCCCCCCACGGCAGCTCGGAGCAGGAGGAGCGGCAGGACCAGGCCAACTACAGCCGGCGGGCGCAGAACGTGGGCAAGAAGCTGCAGATCCTGAGATCCCTCGTGGCTGAGTACGGGGGGGGGTCTCGGGAAGGGTTTTGGGGTGTTCCCACCTCCCCCGAGCCCCCCTCATCACCATCATCATCGTCACCATCACCGCCACCCCCACACAGCCCCGAGGAGGAGGAGGCGGCGCCGGCGAAGCTGAAATTTGGGAAGAAACGGCGGGAGAAGAGGAAGCGGCTGAAGGAGGAGGAGGAGGAGGAGGAAGGGGAGGCCCCCCCCGCGGCCCCCCGAAATCCCGGGGGTCCCCGGCGGCGGGGGGGGCCCCCCCTGGGCGCGGCCGTGCGTTTGGGGGGCCGGGAGTTCAGCGGGAGGAGGCTGGAAGCCTTCGGCCTCAACCCACGCCGGCTCCGCTTCCGGCAGCTCCGGCGGCAGCAGCGGCGCGGGAAAGGCGGAGAGCCCCCGGAGAAAGCCCGGGAGAACGGCGGGAACACCGGGAAAAACCCCGGGAAAAATGCCGGGAACAGCGAGAAAAACCCAGGGAACAGCGGGAAAAACAGCGGGAACACCGGGAAAAACACTGAGAACACCGAGAAAAATCCTGGGAATACTGAGAAAAATCCTGGGAAAAACCTCGGGAACACTGAGAAAAATCCTGGGAACACCGGGAAAAATCCTGGGAAAAACGCTGGAAATACAGAGAAAAATCCTGGGGAAAACCTTGGGAACACCGGGAAAACAGCAGCCGTCAATGGGAAAAAACAGAAACGCAGGAAAAATGCCCCAAACCCTCAGGAAAACACCTGAAATTCCCGGGAAAATGCCCGAAATTCCCAGGAAAACACCTGGAACCCCCGGGAAACACTTGGAACCCCCCAGAAGACATCCAAAATTCCCGGGAAAACACCCGAAATTCCCAGGAAAACACCTGAAATCTCCAGGGAAACACTTGGAACCCCCCAGAAGACACCCGAAATTCCCAGGAAAACACCCGAAATTCCCAGGAAAACCCCAGAACCACCCGGAAAAGCCCCCCAAGTCCCGGAGCAGCACCGGAACCGCCCCAGAACAGACGAAACGCCCCAGAAAAGCCCCGGGACCCCTCGGGCCGCCGAGCTCCGTTCAAGTGGTTTTTATTTGGGGCGGGGGGCGCGGCCGGGGGGTCCTGAGCGGAGCAATAAATAACCCCCCCCACCCTGAGCAGCTCTGACAGTGAATTTGGGGGTCCCACAGTTTGGGGGTCCCGGAGTGTGTGTGGGGGGAGGGGGAGGAGGGGCAGTAGTGACCCAAAACAGCCCCAAATTTGGGGGGGGGGGGGGGGTGCCCGCGGCCCCCCCCGGGGCCGATCCAGTGTTTGGGGGTTTTGGGGGGCTCAGAGGAGCACGAACTCCTCCGAGTTGGGTTTTTTGGGGCGTTTCCCCCGGCGGGGGAGGGGAGGGGGCGGCCCGGGGGGGGGGTCCGGGGTCTGGTGGTCCCGAGCGCGGCCCTCGGCCAGGGTGAAGATGGGGTAACGCTCCGGAGCCGAGCGGGGGGACAGCGCCTGGAGAAAATTGGGGGGTCAGCAGCGGGAAAAGGGGGGGCAGACACCCCCGACCCCCCCCAGGGGACTCACCCGGGCCAGGTCCCCCCAGAGCTGCTCCAGCTCCGTCCCGGCGGTGTAAAAACCGAAGGTGCAGCTGGGATCCATCTTCCCGAAGGACATTTTCCGTGGGAAGCAGCAGTGGAAAGACTTGGGGAGGGGGAGGGGGAAAATTGGGGGGTTCGCACCCGCTGAGGACCCCCCCCGCCCCCCAGAGCCCGATTTTGGGGGGCACCCACCTGCAGAGGGAAATCCTCCCGCGCCGTGTCCACGCAGGGCTGGCAGAGGTGCGGGTCCAGGTAGAGCAGGGAATCACCTGGGGGGGCACGGAGGGGTCGGGGACCACCGGGAACCCCCCGGGAACCCCCCGGGACCACCGGGGAACCCCCCGGGACCCCCGGGAACCCCCCCCGGGACCCCCGGGAACCCACCCGGGACCCCCGGGACCACCGGGAACCCCCCCGGGAACCCCCCCGGGACCACCGGGAACCCCCCCGGGAACCCCCCGGGACCACCGGGAACCCCCCCGGGACCCCCGGGAACCCCCCGGGACCCCTCCCGGGGGTCGGTACCTTGGAAGCCGAGGAAGTAGAGCGAGTGCCGCGGCTTTCCGCCGATGATGCCGAGGCAGGAGCGGAGCTGCAGCAGCTCCTGGCGGGGAGGGAGCCGCGCTGGCACCGGGAACGGCACCGGGAACGGCACCGGGATGGATTCCCCGGCACCGGCATCGCCCCCAGACCCACCTTGACGCACTCCACGTACACGGGGTTCAGGTTCTCGCCCCCCAAGCGCGCCGGCACCAGCAGGACGAGCCCGCGGCGATGCCCCGGCTCCGGTGCTGCCGGTGTTCCCGGTGCTCCCGATGTTCCAAATCCCGGTGCTCCCGGTGTTCCCGGTCCCGGAGCTCCCGGTGATCCCAGTCCCGGTGTTCCCGGTCCCGGTGCTCCCGATGTTCCCGGTCCCGGTGCTCCCGGTGTTCCCGGTCCCGGAGCTCCCGGTGATCCCAGTCCCGGTGCTCCCGGTGTTCCCGGTCCCGGGGCTCCCGATGTTCCCGGTCCCGGTGCTCCCGGTGTTCCCGGTCCCGGAGCTCCCGGTGATCCCAGTCCCGGTGTTCCCGGTCCCGGTGCTCCGTGTCCCGCTGTCCGCCCGTCACGGTCGCCCCGCACCAACCTGGCCACGTCCTCTTTGTAAACTGCGAATAAAAACAAACCGGGAGGGGGGGTGGAGGCGGCCGCTCCTTCCCGGCCCCCCAGGAACACCCCGACCCCACAGGAACCCCCCCAAACCGGGGACGCCCCGGTTCCCCCCGTACCGGTGCAGTCCTGGGCCACGTAGACGGCGAGCCCGGGGGTCTCGGTGCAGGATTCCACGGCCCCCCTGCGCGGGACGGGATCGGTGGGTCCGGGGGGGGTCCCGGTGTCCCCCCCACCCCACGGGGGTCCCCCCGCGCCCCCCGGCCCCGCTCACCGCAGCAGGTGGGCGGCGATGGCGGGACCGAACCAGTCCCCGGCGCTCCGGCCGAACTCCCGGCCCAGCTCCACGAGCCGGTGGATCCCGAACGGGGCGCGGGGGTGGTCCGAGAACCAGGACACGATGGCGCGGTGCCGCTGCTCCGCGTCCCGGGGGGCTCGGGGGGGGCCCGAGGGATCCCGGGGCTGTCCCGGGGGGTCCCGGGGCTGTCCCGGGGGGTGCTGAGACCGTCCCGAGGGGTCCCGGGGCTGTCCCGGGGGGTCCCGGGGCTGTCCCGGGGAGTCCCGTGCCCGTCCCGGGGGGTCCCGGGGCTGTCCCGGGGGGTCCCGGGGCTGTCCCGGGGGGTTCCGGGGCTGTCCCGGGGGGTCCTGAGACCGTCCCGAGGGGTCCCGGGGCTGTCCCGGAGGGTCCCGGGGCTGTCCCGAGGGGTCCCGGACCCGTCCCGAGGGGTCCCGGGGCTGTCCCGGGGGGTCCCGGACCCGTCCCGGGGGGTGCTGAGACCGTCCCGAGGGGTCCCGGGGCTGTCCCGGAGGGTCCCGTGCCCGTCCCGAGGGGTCCCGTGTCCTCCCGGAGCGCTCCGTGTCCATCCCGGGAGGTCCCTGTCCATTCTGGGGGGGTCGCGTCAATCCCGGGGGGTCCCGGGTCGGTCCCGGTGTGTTCCGCATCCTCCCGGGGGTCGCAGTGTCCACCCTGGGGGATCCGTGTCCATCCCGGGAGACCCTCGGTCCATCCCGGGGGTCCCGTGTCCGTCCCGGGGGGTCGCGGGTCCTGCGGGACCCCCTCGGCTCCGGTTCCAGCGGCGCCTCCGGCCACATCCAGTCTGGAATTGAGGGGTGGGGGGGGCTCGAGGAGCGTCCGCCCGGCCCGGGGGTCTTCCCGCGGCCCCGGGGGTCTTCCCGCGGCCCCGGGGGTCCTCCCGGGGGTCGCGGCCCGGCCGGGGTCGCTCACCGCGGCCCAGCAGGTGCAGCAGCAGCCCCTGGCCCAGCAGCATCTGAGCGCTGCGCAGGGTGCAGCCCCAGCCGCAGTCGCTGCTGCGGGCGGGGGTCCCGGGCAGCGCCGGGAAACCGCTCCGGTACGTCAGCCACAACCGGGAGCAGAAATCCCGCCGGAACCGCGCCAGCTCCTCTGGGGGGGGAGAGAGAGGCCGTGGGAGACCCCCGAGACCCCCTCAGAGCCCCGAGACCTCCGAGACCCCCCCTCAGAGCCCCGAGACCCCCCCAGACACCCCTCAGAGCCCCGAGACCCCTTCAAACCCCCGAGACCCCCTCAGATCCACCCTCAGACGCCCGAGACTCCCTCAGAGCCCCGAGACCCCCTCAGACCTCAGGGACCACCCCGAGACCCCCCGAGACCCCCCCTTAGACCCCCTCAGACCCCCCCCCCAGATCCCCCCTCAGAACCCCAAGACTCCCTGAGACTCCCGAGACCCCCCTCAGACCCCCCCACATCCCCTCCGGGGCCCGGGGATCCGCCGCACCGGGACCGGCTCGTTGGGGGATGAGAAATGGGGGCGGGAACCCCCCGACCCCCCGGGGGTCCCGTTCACCCCCGGGGGTCCCGCTCACCCCCGGGGGTCCCGCCCGCCCCCGGGGGTCCCGCTCAGCCCCGGGGGTCCAGCTCAGCCCCGGGGGTCCCGCCCGCCCCCGGGGGTCCCGCTCACCCCCGTTCCCCGGTGCGTAGACCCTCCCCAGCAGGTACAGGGGGTCCCGCGGGCTGAAGTGGGGCCGCGGCCGCAGCGTCCAACCTGGGGAGAAACGGGTCAGACGGGACCCCCGGTACTCCCGGATACCGGGAACACCGGACACCGGGACCCCAACCCCGGTACTGCCGGATACCGGGAACACCGGATACCGGGACCCCCACTCCCGGTACTCCCGGATACCGGTAACACCGGACACCGGGACCCCCAGCCCCGGTACTCCCGAATACCGGGACCCCAAACCCCGGCACCCCCAACCCCGGTACTCCCGGATACCGGTAACACCGGACAGCGGGACCCCCAGCCCCGGTACTCCCGAATACCGGCACCCCCATTCCCGGTACTCCTGAATACCGGGACCCCCAACCCCGGTACTCCCGGATACCGGGACCCCGAACACCAGCACCCCCGAATCCCGGCACCCCCAGATCCCGGTATTCCCGAATCCCCGTCCCCCTGCCCGGTGTCCCGGTGTCCCGTTTCCGGTATCCCGGTGCCCCGCTGTCCCCGTCCCGGTGTCCCGTTCCCGATATCCGGTGTCCCGGTGTCCCGTTCCCGGTATCCCGGTACCCCGCTGTCCCCGTCCCGGTGTCCCGTTCCCGGTATCCGGTATCCCGGTGCCCCGCTGTCCCCGTCCCGGTGTCCCGATCCCGGTATCCGGTATCCGGTATCCCGGTGTCCCGGTTCCCACCGTATTTGACGCTGTTCCAGGCCGCGAGCACGCGGCCCCGCACGCGCTGCCCGCTCCGCTCGGCCCCGGGAGGGGGTCCCGGTCCCGGTCCCGGTCTCGGTGCCGGTCCCGGTTCCGGGGGGGGTCCCGGTCCCCCCCCCCCCCCCGCTCATGGCGGCGGCGGCGCGCGGGGGGGCGGGGCCCCGTGGGGGGCGTGGCCAGACAGAGAAGGCGGGAAAGAGGGGCGGGAACCGAATCACGGTAAATGGGCGTGGTTATGCAAATCATCCGTGCCTGGGGCGTGGCCAGAGCGAGAGGGCGGAAAAGGGGGCGGAACCCAAATCCCGGTAAATGGGCGTGGCTATGCAGATAGTCTCTGTGTGGGCGTGGTTATGCAGATTCCCGATGTGCATGGGCATGGTCACGGCTAGTGGGCGTGGCCTGAACGGGACCCCCGGGGCCGGTTTGGGAGGGGGCGGGGGGGCACCGGGGACATTTCGGGGTCACTTTGGGGCTCCCCCCGGTGCCACCGGGAGGTCTCGGGGACATTTTGGGGACACGCGGTGGCACCGGGGGTGGGCGGTTCATGGGGGAGTTTTGGGGTCACATCGGGACCTACCGGACAGAGAGGGGGGAGGTCTCGGTGACACCGTGGGGTCACGGAGGGGCTACCGGGGACCCTCCCGGTGCCGTCACCGGTCCCGGGGAGACTTTTATTGCGGTGAAGGGCGTGTCCGTGACGTCACAGGGCGTGTCCCGGGGCTCTTATCGCGACAGGGGCTCCGAGCGCTGCTTAGTCACGGCCCCCCCCCCATCCCCCCCGGTCCCGGGGCCGCGGCGTGAACCGGTGAGACCCCCCCCAAAATATTCCCAAAAACCCCCCGGGACCCCCCGGGATATCCCCCGGTACCGGCACGGACCGCTGAGATCCCCAAAATCCCCCCAGAAATAACCCCAAAATCGCCCTCGGGACACCCAAAATAGCGCTCCGAACCCCCCGCAATAATCGCCGGGATCGGTACGGGCCGGTGAGAACCCCGAAAATCGCCCCAAACACAGCCCGGGACCCCCAAAATAGCGGCGGGACGGCTCCGGCACCGGGGCCGCTGCGTGGGCCGGGAGAGCGCCCTAAAATAGACCCGAAATAGCCCCAAAACGGCCCCGAAATAGTCCCGAAATTGCCCCACAACGGCCCCGAATCAGAGCCTCCCACTCCAGGCAGTCCCTGTCCCCTCCGTGCCTCAGTTTCCCCACTCTAACTCCCCCAAATCCCATTCCAGCGAGTCCCTGTCCCCCTCCCCACCCTCCGTGCCTCAGTTTCCCCCCTCTAACCCCATTTCCTCCCCCAAATCCCATTCCAGGGAGTCCCTGTCCTCTCCGTGCCTCACTTTCCCCCCTCTAACCCCATTTTCTCCCCGAAATCCCACTCCAGGCAGTCCCTGACCCCTCCGTGCCTCAGTTTCCAGCCTCTAACTCCCCCAAATCCCATTCTAGGGAATCCCTGTCCTCTCCGTGCCTCAGTTTCCCCCCTCTAACTGCCCCAAATCCCACTGCAGGCAGTCCCTGTCCCCTCCGTGCCTCAGTTTCCCCACTGTTACCCCATATTTCTCCCTCTGCAGCCTTTCCATCACCCCAAACCCCATTCCAGGGGGTATCCGTGCCTCAGTTTCCCCCTCTAACCCCTTTCTCCCTCAGGCAGCCCCCCCAAACCCCACTCCAGGGAATCCCTGTCCCCCTCCCCACGCTCCGTGCCTCACTTTCCCCCCTCTCACCCCATTTTTCTCCCTCAGGCAGCCCCACACCGCCCCACACCGCCCGCAGACCTCTCCCCATCCCGCCGCCATGTCCGGCCCGTCGCCGCCGCTCCGGGACTGCGGGGCCGAGGAGCTGCTGCCGCCCCCATCATCCTCATCCTCCTCATCCTCCTCCTCCTCCTCGTGCTGCCGGTACCCGCGGCCCGAGCACCCCGCGGCCGCGCTGGCCGCCATGAACCGGCTGCGGCTGGAGGGCCAGCTCTGCGATGTGACGCTGCGGCTGCGGCCGCACACCGAGCTGCGGGCGCACCGCGTGGTGCTGGCGGCCGCCAGCCCCGTGTTCCGCGCCATGTTCACGGGCGGGCTGCGGGAGCGCGGCCAGGCCGAGGTGCCCATCGAGGGCGTGCAGCCGCGGGCCATGGAGCGCCTGGTGGAGTTCGCCTACACGGCGGCCGTGGCGGTGGGCGAGCGCTGCGTGCTGCCGCTGCTGCACGGGGCGCTCATGTACCAGGTGCGTCCGTGCCCGGGGTTCAATTAACGGGAGGGGAATTAGCAACGGGGCATCGGCCAGCGGGGTCGGGAAAGGAACGGCGCTGGGCGGCCCGGGAGTCCCGGGTCCATCACGGGGTGATCCATCCCTCCCCCTTTGACCCTTTGGTTGTTATAGTTCTTTCTTTTTTTTTGCATTTTCCTTTTATTTTCTTTTTTTTTTTTTTTTTTTTCTTTTTCCTTTTATTTTTTTTTTCCTTTTTCTTTCTTGTTTCCAGTTAACATATCTCCTCTCAATCCTAGGGGGTCTATTTTTACTGCCCTTAGTGTTTTGACCCTTTTCTTTTTATAGGTTTTCCTTTTTCTTTTTTCCTTTTCCTTTTTCTTTTTTTTCCCAGTTCACATATCTCTTCTCAATGCTAGGGGGTCTTTTTTACTGCCCTTAGTGTTTTGACCGTTTTGTTTCTATAGTTTTTCTTTTTTTTTTTCCAGTTGACATCTCTTCTCCCGATGCAATTCCTTGCTAGGGGGTCTTTTTTTCTGCCCTTGGTGGTTTGACCCTTTTGTTTTTATAGTCCTTTTCCTTTTTTTTTTTTTTTTTTCGAGTTTACATATTTTCTCTCGGTGCTAGGGGCTCTTTTTGACCTTTTTATTTTTATAGTTTTTTGTTTTGTTTTGTTTTGTTTTTTTCCAGTTCACATATTTTTTCTCAATGCAATTTGTTTGCTGGGGGGGGTCTTTTTTTCTGCTGGGGGGTCGTTCCTGTGCTCCCTGGAATGGGATTTGGGGGAGAAAATAGGGTTAGAGTGGGGGAAACCGAGGCACAGGGGTGGGGAGGGGGACAGGGACTCTCTGGAATGGGGTTTGGGGTGACAGAAACTTGTATAAAATCAGTTACACAGTTTCCTGTGCCAGTCACATCTGCACAATTCTTAAGCAGGATAATTGCTGTTTCCCCTCTTTCTCCTTCTCTTGGGGTTCCCTGCCCGGGTCAGACCCTTCCCTCATTTTTAACGCCGCTTTTGACGAGCAAAGACCTTTTGGTTTATCGCAGGTGGACGCCGTGGTCAGCGCCTGCTGCGCCTTCCTCGGGGGGCAGCTGCACCCCAGCAACGCCATCGGCATCGCCGCGCTGGCCGAGCGCCTGGGCTGCCTGGAGCTGCAGCAGAAGGCCCAGCAGTACATCTACATGAACTTCGCTGAGGTACTTGGGGGATTTAGGGGGGTTTTGGGGGGTTTGAGTGGGGTTTTGGGGTGTTTCAGGAGGTTTGGAGCAGCGAGGAGCTCCTGTCCCTGCCCCGCTCCCGGCTGTTGGGGTTTTTTTGCTGCTTTTTGGCCTCCTTTGGAGTTTCCCCTCGCATTTTCACCCCGTTTTTGTGCAGGTCTCCAAGCAGGAGGAATTCCTCTCCCTGTCCCATGCCAGATTGTTGTTTTAAGCTGATTTTGGGCGGTTTTGATATTTCCCTCACATTTTTCTAAGCAGGAGGAGTTCCTCTCCCTCTCCCACTTCCAGATTGTTATTGTGGGGCTGATTTTGAGCCGATTTCGAGCCGATTTCTGTCACTTTTACCAATCCCCTGCCATTTTCTCCCCGTTTTCCTGCAGGTCTCCAAGCAGGAGGAGTTCCTCTCCCTCTCCCACTGCTGGGATGCTGTTCTGGGGCTGGTTTTGAGCCGCTTTTGGGCACTTTTACCAATCCCTGCCATTTTCTCCCCGTTTCCCCGCAGGTCTCGAAGCAGGAGGAGTTCCTCTCCCTCTCCCACTGTCAGATTGTTATTTTGGGGCTGATTTCGAGCCGATTTCTGTCCGTTTTGATATTCCCCTCACTTTTCCCCTGCAGGTCTCGAAGCAGGAGGAGTTCCTCTCCCTCTCCCACTGCTGGGATACCGTTCTGGGGCTGGTTTTGAGCCGATTTCTGTCACTTTTACCAATCCCTTCATTTCCCCGCAGGTCTCGAAGCAGGAGGAGTTCCTCTCCCTGTCCCACTGCCAGCTGGCCTCGCTGCTGAGCCGGGACGAGCTGAACGTGCGCTGTGAGTCCGAGGTGTTCCAGGCGTGCGTGGCGTGGGTGCAGCAGGAGCGGGCGGCGCGGGCGCCGTTGCTGCCGTTGCTGCTGCGCGCCGTGCGCTGCCACGCGCTGACGCCGCGCTTCCTCCGCGCCCAACTGCGCCGCCGCCGCGAGCTGGGCCGCGACGCCCTGCGCTACCTGGGCCGCGTGTTCCGCGAGCTGGCCCTGCACCGGCCCTGCGGGGACCGCCCGCCCGGCAGGAGCCCCAGGGCGCGGCAGCTGATCTACGCGGCCGGCGGGTACCTGCGGCGCTCGCTGGGCACGCTGGAGGCCTTCGACCCCGAGCGCGGCTCCTGGCTGCGGCTGGCGGCGCTGGAGCCGCCGCGCTCGGGGCTGGGCGGCTGCGCCGTCGGGGGGCTGTTCTACGCCGTGGGGGGCAGGAACAACTCGCCCCAGGGCAACACGGACTCGGCGGCCGTGGACTGCTACAACCCCGTCAGCGGGCGCTGGGCGCCCTGCGCGCCCATGAGCGTGCCCAGGAACCGCATCGGCGTGGGCGTCATCGACGGGCTCATCTACGCCGTGGGGGGGTCCCACGGCTGCACGCACCACTGCTCGGTGGAGAGGGGGGGGGGGGGAATGGGGGTGGGGGGGGAATGGGGGCCTGGGGGGTAAAATGGGGTTGGGGGACTAAAAAGGGTCTGGGGGGTAAAAAGGGGTTGGGGGGGAAATGGGGTTGGGGGAGAAATGGGGGTGGGGGGGGAAATGGGGCTGGAGGAGTAAAAAGGGTCTGGGGGGTAAAACGGGGTTGGGGGTAAAAAGGGTCTGGGGAGTAAAAAGGGTCTGGGGGGGAAATGGGGCTGGGATTAGTGCGGTCCTGGAGGGGGTCTCACAGTGGGGTCTGTGCCCCTTTGGGGGGTCCTGGGGGTCTCACAGTGGGATTTGGGGGTCTCACACTGGGGTCAGCTCCCCGGGGGGGTCTCACAGTGGGATTTGGGGGTCTCACACCGGGACCAGCCCCCCGGGGGGGTCTCACAGTGGGATTTGGGAGTCTCACAGTGGGATTTGGGGGTCTCACAGTGGGATTTGGGGGTCTCACAGTGGGGTCAGCCCCCGGGGGGGGTCTCACAGTGGGATTTGGGGGTCTCACATTGGGATTTGGGGGTCTTTGGGGGGGTCTCACCCCGGGACCAGCCCCCCGTGCCCCCCAGCGCCCTGACCCCGCCGTGCCCCCCAGGTACGAGCCCGAGCGGGACGAGTGGGCGCAGGTGGCGCCGATGGGGACGCGGCGCATCGGGCTGGGGGTGGCGGTGCTGCACCGGCTCCTCTACGCCGTGGGCGGCTTCGACGGCAGCGCCCGACTGCGCTCGGCCGAGCGGTACCACCCCGAGCGGGACCGGTGGCAGAACATCGCCCCCATGAACAGCGTGCGCAGCGGCGCGGGTGGGCGGGGGGCTGGGCCGGGGGCTGGGGGGGGATGGAGGGGGATGGAGAGGTTTGGGAATTCCTGGAGGGGTCTGGGGGGTGTTGGATGGGGTCTGGGGGGTGCTGGAGGGGGTTTGGGGGGTGCTGGAGGGGGTTTGGGGGGTGCTGGGTGGGATCTCGGAGGGGTTTGGGTGGTCCTGGAGGGGTCTGGGGGTGCTGGAGGGGGTCTGGGGGGCCCTGCATGGAGTTTGGGGGGGTCCTGGAGGAGTTTGGGGGGCCCTGTATGGAGTTTGGGGGGGTCCTGGAGCAGTTTGGGGGGTCTTGGAGGGGTCTGGAGGATGCTGGAGGGGATTTGGGGGTGCTGGAGGGAGTTTAGGGGCTGCTGGAGGGGGTCTGGGTGGTCCTGGAGGGGGTTTGGGGGGTGCTGGAGGCGTTTGGGAATTCCTGGAGGAGATTTGGGGGGTCCTGGAGGGGGTTTGGGGGGTGCTGGAGGGGGTTTAGGGGGTGCTGGGGGGGGCTGGAGGGGGTTTGGGGGGTGCTGGAGGGGGTCTGGGGGGTGCTGGATGGGATCTTTGAGGAGTCTGGGGGCAGCATCTCCATTTTTGGGATGTTTTGGCTCGTTTTTGGCTGGTTTTTCTCTGGGGGTTCCCGGGGGTCCCTGGGGTTCCTGGGGGCGCTGGATCCTATTCTGGGGGTCCCTCCCGCAGGGGTGTGCGCCCTGGGGAACTGCCTGTACGCCATGGGGGGGTACGACGGCACGCAGCAGCTGCGCAGCGCCGAGCGCTTCCGCGCCGACACCGGCACCTGGAGCTTCGTGGCACCCATGGGACACCGGCGCAGCGCCCTGGGCGTGGCGGCCTTCGGGGGCAGGATCTACGTGCTGGGTACGGCCCGGGCTGGGGGGCATTGGGGGGGGATCTGGGGGGGGCGTTCAGGGGCATTGGGGGGTGTTCGGGGGCATTGGGGGGCATTTGGGGGCATTCAGGGGCATTCGAGGGCATTTGGGGGGCGTTCAGGGGGATTTGGGGGGTATTCAGGGGCATTTGGGGGATGTTCAGAGGCATTTGGGGGGCATTCAGGGGCATTCAAGGGCATTTGGGGGGCATTTGGGGGGCCTTCAGGGGCATTTGGGGGGTGTTCAGGGGCATTTGGGGGACGTTCTGGGGGATTTGGGGGGCATGGGGGGCACTTGGGGAGCATTTGGGGGCATTGGGGGGGATTGGAGGGGCATTGGGGGCATTTGGGGGGCATTTAGTTTCTGGAGGTGGGTGGGGGTCCCGTGGGGTGTTCCTGGGGGTCCCGTGGGGTGTTCCTGGGGGTGGGTTTGGGGGGTCCCCTGGGGGTGTTTCTGGGGGTGTTTCTGGGGGTCCCACAAGGGCGTTTCGGGGGGTGGGTTGGGGGTCCCGTGGGGTGTTCTTGGCGTGGGTGGGGGTCCCGTGGGGCGCTCCTGGCGCGGGTGGGGGTCCCGGGCTGACCCCTCTCTCCCCCCGGGCAGGGGGCTACGATGGCCGCTCGTTCCTGCAGTCGGTGGAGTGCTACGACCCCGCGGCCGACGCCTGGACCGAGCTGGCGCCGATGCCCGCGGGGCGCAGCGGGCTGGGGGTGGCCGTCACCGTGGAGCCCTGCCACCCCCGGGACCCCCGGGACCCCCCCCCAGGACCCCCCCCCACCCGGGGACCCCCCCCCAGGCGGCTCCTGCTGACCCCGGCGCCGCCGCGGGGGTTGGGGGGCTGGGGGGGGGCCGGATTCCCAAAATTCCGGATTTTTCCCTTCCCCACCCCCCCTCCGAACCCATCCCCCGCCGGCGGCGGATTGAGGGGTGCAGTGGGGGGGTCGTGCCAGCGAGACCCCTCCCCAAAATGGCACAGGGGTGTTCCCTGCCCGGCTCGGGGCCGGTTCTGGGGCCGGTTTTGGCGATTCACGGACAGAATAAAGGAAATGACGGATTTGTGGTTTAATGGGGAGGGGGTCGGTGGGCTGGGGAGGGGTCACGGCGCCAGCGGCTCCGTGGGCAGCACCGGGGGTCTCCGGGGTCTCCACTCGGTGGGCACCAGCCCCCACAGGTAATCGCTGACGAAGGTCCCCGAGTGCTGTGCTGCGTCCAGGTCCAGCGGCACGGCGATGTCGGGGCCGTAGTGCACTGGGGAGGGGGAAAACCGGGCTGGGAGGGGTCCCAGAGGGGATTTTGGGGGGATTTCGGGGATTTTGGGGCGCTCACCGCCTCGGATGCGGCCGGGCTCGGCGCTGCAGTCCCAGTCGATCCGGCTGATCTCGTAGTAGAGCTGCGCCACGTACCTGCGGGGGGAGGTTTGGGGGGCTCAGGGGGGTTTGGGGGGCGCTGAGCGGGGGTTTGGGGGTCTCTGTGCCCACTCACACGTCGGGAGGAAGGCTCTGCTCATCCTCCTCCTCCTCCTCCTCCTCCTGGTGCCGCTCCCGCAGCTCCTCCAGGGCTCGGCGCAGCGCCGTGGGCAGGGGGGGGTCAAGGCAAACGCGGCGGCCAAAAAACCCCAAATCCCCCCAAAAACCCCAAATCCCCCCCAAAAACCCCAAATCCCCCCCAAAAACCCCAAATTCCCCCCAAAACCCGCCGAGGTCCCCCCAAGGATATCGGGATCGGTCCCTGGCGGCGCTCAGGGCGCCCCGGGCCCGCTCCAGCTCCGTGTCCAGCTCCTGCCCGCGGCCGCGCAGCCGCCGGACATCGGCCTGGGCAGCGGCCAGACGGGCCAGCAGGCGGGCCTCGGCCTCCGCCAGCCCTGGGGGGACATGGGGGGCAATGGGGGAATGGGGGGCACTGGGGGGCAATGGGGGGCTGGGGGACATTGGGGAGCTGGGGGAGATGGGGGGCACAGGGGGAGATGGGCAATGGGGGGCACTGGGGGGGCATTGGGGGGGGCTGGGGGGCATTGGGGGGTTTGGGGGCACTGGGGGGGCTGGGGGAGATGGGCACTGGGGGGCAATGGGGGGCTGGGGGAGATGGCAATGGGGGGGCTGGGGGGCACTGGGGGGCAATGGGTGGCACTGGGGGGGCACTAGGGGAGGCTGGGGGGCACTGAAGGGTCTGGGGGCACTGGGGAAGATGGGCAATGGGGGGCTGGGGGACTGGGGAGACACACGGGGGCTGCGGGGCACTGGGGGGCTGGGGGCAGTGGGGGTATGGGGGGCACTGGGGGGGCTGGGGGGCCTGGGGTAGAGGGGGTGCAGTGGGGATGTTTGGTTTGGGCTGTTTAGGGTGGTTTTTTGGGGTGTTTGGGGTGGTTTTTTTGGGGTATTTTGGGGTATTTTGGGCTGTTTTGGGGTGTTTGGGTCACCCAGCCTGGGCCAGCCCCCGCGCCCGGGCCTGCGTGTCAGTGAGGACGATTTGGGGTATTTTGGGCTGTTTTTTTTGGGTCTTTTGGGGTGGTTTTTTTGGGGTGGTTTGGGGTGGTTTTTTTGGGGTATTTTGGGCTGGTTTGGGGTGGTTTTTTGGGGTATTTTGGGCTGTTTTGGAATAGTTTTTTGGGCTGTTTTGGGGTTTGGGGTCACCCACCCTGGGCCAGCCCCCGCGCCCGGGTCTGCGCCTCCCGCAGGCGCCGCTGCAGCCGCAGGCGCCGGTGCAGCCCCCGCTGCAGCAGCTCCTCGGTGCAGCCCGAGCTCAGCTCCCGCAGCAGCTCCTGGCTCAGCTCCTCCACCGCCTCCACCGGCGGGAACGGCGCCGCCTCCTGCGACCGGGACCGGGAATGGGAAACGGGGACAAAACCGGGACGGGAACGAGAACAAAACCAGGACGGGAATGGGGGCAAAACCGGGATGGGAACGGGGGTCCCGGGGGATTTTGGGGACCAAGGGCTCGGTTTGGGGTCCCGGGGGATTTTGGGGACCAAGGGCCCGGTTTGGGGTCCCGGGGGGGGGGGTGACATCCCGGGGATCCGCGCCGGCACCGCGTTAACCCCGCCCCGTTCCTGCGGCCAGCTCGCGTCCCTTCCTGCCCGTTTTCCCCCGTTTTCCCCGTTTTTTTCCCCGTTTTTCCCCGTTTTTTACCATTTTTCCGCTTTCTCCGTCCCGCGCGCCGTTCGAACCGGGCGGGGCCGCTCTGCGCATGCGCGGCCCCGCCCCGTCCCGCATTGGTTCCGTCCTCTCCCCCCCCCCGCGCTCCGCGATGGTCTCGCCCGCCCTGTGTGTCACCCCGTCCGCGTCCCGCCCTCCCCGCGGCCCCTCCGCTTTGGTTCCGCCCCCGGCGCGGAGCCCCTCCGGTGATGGCGGCGGCGGCGGCGGCGGCGGGCGGGGCGGGCCGCGGGCTCTGGGCGCGCCTGGGGGACACCCGGCTCGGTGAGGGGCTCTCAGGGTGACGGCAATACGGGCAGGGGGGACCCGAGCTCTTGCGGGGGCGGCTCCGGTGGAGGGGGGGGCGATTCGGGCCCCCGGGAGGGTTCTGGGGGGGGCTTTACCCTGGGAGGGGTTTGGGGGGCTCGGGGGGGTCCCCATAACCCCGTGGGGGGGGGTCGGGGGGTCCCCAGCCCCTCCCGTTCTCCCGCTGTGCCCCGGCCGGGCCCCAGCCGTGACCTCGGTGTGACCCCCGTGACCCCTCCAGACCCCCCGTGACCCTCCGGTTCCCTCCGTGACCCCGCCTGACCCCCCCGGCCCCTCTAACTCCCCTGACCTCCGGTTCCCGGTCCCGGTCCCCTCTAACCCCCGGTCCCGTTCCCGTTTCCCCGTTCCCATTTCCCGGTCCCCTCTAAGCCCCGTTTCCTGGCTCCCGGTTCCCGGTAACCCCCCATTCCCGTTTCCCGGTTCCCCGTTCCCAGTCCTCTCTAACCCCCGGTCCCGTTCCCGTTTCCCAGTTCCCCGTTCCTGTTCCCGTTATCCCCCGTTCCCTTTCTTGTTCCCGTCCCCGTTTCCCGTTCCCTTTCCCATCCCCATTCCCGTTAACCCCGTTCCCGCTCCCGTTCCCGTCCCCGTTAACCGCCGCTCCCGTTCCCTTCCCCATCCCCGTTCCCGTCTCCGTTAACCCCCGTTCCCATTCCTGTCCCCGTTAACTGCCGCTCCTGTTCCCGTCCCCGCTCCCATTCCCATTCCCGTCCCCGTTAACCCCCGCTCCCGTTCCCGCTCCCGTTAACCCCCATTCCCGTTCCCATCGCCGTTAACCCCCATTCCCGTTCCCGCTCCCGTTAACCCCCGTCCCCGTTAACCCCCGTTAACCCCCGTCCCCGTTCCCATTCCCATTCCCGTTAACCCCCATTCCCATCCCCGTTAACCCCCGTCCCTCTCCCGTTCCCTCCCGCAGCCCTGTGGTTCCGCGCTCTCCTCCGTGATTACTCCTCGTCGCTCCGTGACGCCGCCGGTGCCGCGCGCCGCCGCCCGTTGCTGAGCGCGGCCGCCGTGGCCGGCCTGGCCGTGACCGCCGGGCTGGCGCGCTCGGTACCGGACGGCGGCTCCCTGGAGAGCGCGGCCGTGGCGGCGGCGGCGGCGCTGAGCCCGATCCCGCCGGGGTCCCGCAGCCCCCGCGCCGAGCGCCGCGTCCTGCGGCTGCTGCGGCTGCGGGAGCGCGGCCGCCTCCGCGTGCGGAGCCTCGGGCTGCTCTCGGTGGCCGCCGCCGAACCGGACGGCACCGACGCCGCGCTGTACCGGGCCCGGTGCCCGCACCTGCGGCCGCGGCCGTGGGAGCGCGGGGCGCTGCTGGACGTGGGGTTCGCGGGGCGCTGGTGGCTGCTGGAGGCGGCGCTGCGGGACCCCGACGTGAACGAGGAGGAGTTCGGGCACCTCCCGGGGCCGCTGCGCCGCCTGCGCCCCGCCGAGCTCCGCTCCGAGCGCAACGAGCGCCTGCACCGGGAGCGGCTGCGCGCCGTGGTGCTCAGCGAGGCCGACATCGGCGGGGAGGAGCCCCTCGAAATTCGGGGTTCAGCGTGAAACCGGCTCGGTTCGGGCCGAGGAGGACCCCCGAAAACTCGGGGTTTGGGCTGAAATGGGATCGGTTTGGGCTGGAGGAATAAAGGATTTACTGTGGCTTGCAGGGTGCTGAGTTCTGCCACAATTTGTCCCTAAAAAACCTCAAAAAAGCCCCAAAAAACTCCAAGAAACCCCCCCCAAAAATCCCAAAACAACCCCAAAACCACCCCAAAAAAACCCCAAAACCACCCCAAACCACAAGTGGCTGTGGCCGTGGTGCTCAGCAAGGCAGAGATCGGAGAGGAGCTCCCGAAAATTTGGGGTTTGGGCTGAAATGGGATCGGTTTGGGCTGAAGGAATAAAGGATTTGCTGTGGCTCAGAGACTGCTGAGTTCTGCCAGGATTTGTCCCGAAAAAAACTCAAAAAAACCCCAAAAAACTCCAAGAAAACCCCCCCAAAAAATCCCAAAACAACCGCAAAACCACTCCAAACAGGGAGTGGCTGTGGCCGTGGTGCTCAGCGAGGCGGAGATCAGAGAGGAGCCCCCAAAAACTCGGGGTTTGGGCTGAAACCAGCTCAGTTTGGGCTGGAGGAATAAAGGATTTGCTGTGGCTCGCAGGCTGCTGAGTTCTGCCAGGATTTGTCCCTAAAAAACCTCAAAAAAAAACCCCCAAACCACCTCAAAAAACCCAAGAAAATCCCTCAAAAAATCCTAAAACCACCCCAAACCACAAGCGGCTGTGGCCGTGGTGCTCAGCGAGGCCGAGATTGGCGAGGAGGAACCCCCAAAACCTCCTCAGGACCCCCAAATCCCCCTGGGACCCCCAAATCCTCCCCAGGACTCCCCCGGGACCCCCAAATCCTCCCCGGGACCCCCAAAACCTCCCCAGGACCCCCCTGGGACCCCCACCCTTAGTGAGGTTTCCACGTTCCACAGGCTCGGGGCCGGTGACTCTGACGTCACCTCCCCAAAATCCACCCGGACCCCCCCAAAATCCATCCCACCCCCCCAAACCCCCTCCCCAAAACACATTTTGATTCTCAAATTTATTATTTACACGCCCCCCCCTCTCCGGGAGGGGGTCCCACCTCTGCCCCCCCCACCCCCCCCAAAATTGGGGTGACAGAGGGGGGTGCAGGGGGGGGGGAGGGGCAGAGCTGCGATTTTGGGGAGGCAAAACTGCCCCCCCCTCCCCCCCTATCCTGGGGGGGGCATAAATAGGGGCTGAGCCCCTCCCCCACGCCCCCTCGGAATGAGGGGGGGTTTTTTTGGGGTGGGGGTTTTTTGGGGGGTTATTTGGGGCTGGGGGGTTGGTAGGGGTCCAGCAGGAGGGAGCTGAAGGTGTTGACTTTGTCCCCCCCCCGCACCTCGTGGGGCAGCAGCGGCAGCTTCACGATGTGGAAATCCTCGTACAGGTCCTCCATCTGTGGGGGGGCACGGGGGGTCACAACGGGACCCCAAAAAATACCAAGAAACCACAATAAAAACCAATAAAACCCAATAAAACCCTATAAAAACAAAAAATCCCAAAAAAGCTACAATAAAAAGCAATAAAAACCCAATAAAAACAAAAAATCTCCAGGAAACCACAACAAAAATTAATAAAAACCCAACAAAGCCAAAAAAAAAATTAAAAAACCAAAAACCCGATTAAAAAAAATACAATAAATAGCAATAAAAAACCTGATAAAAATGAAAAAAAAATCCAATAAAAAACCCCATTAAAAACCCAATAAAACCTCCCTGGGCCCCCAGGTGCTCTCACCTGGCCCAGATCTTTGCCCTAAACCCCTCCTGAGCCCCCCAAACCCCACCCCACACCCCCAGGTGTGCTCACCTGGTCCAGGTACTCGGACTAAACTCCTCTTTAGGGGTTTACCTGTGCACTTCAAGCCCCCCCTGCACCCCCAGGTGCTCTCACCTGGTCCAGGTACTTGGGCTAAACTCCTCTTTAGGGGTTTACCTGTGCACTTAAACCCCTCCTGAGCCCCCCAAACCCCCCCAGGTGCGCTCACCTGGCCCAGATCTTTGCCCTAAACCCCCCCTGAGTCCCCCAAATCCCCCCAGGTACACTCACCTGGCCCAGATCTTTGCCCTAAACCCCTCCTGAGCCCTCCTGCAGCCCCCAGGTGAGCTCACCTGTTCCAGCTCCTTACCTTAAACCCCTCCTGAGCCCCCCAGCTCCCACCCCAGGCCCCCAGGTGCGCTGACCTGGTCCAGGTACTTGGACTAAACTCCTCTTTAGGGGTTTACCTGTGCACTTAAACCCCTCCTGAGCCCCCCAAATCCCTCCTGCACCCCCCAGATGTGCTCACCTGGCCCAGGTACTTGGACTAAACTCCTCTTTAGGGCTTTACCTGTGCACTTAACCCCCCCCTGCCCCCCCAGGCGGTCTCACCTGGTCCAGGTACTTGGCCTGGATCTTGTGGCGCGCCTCGCACATGCGGCAGGGCCGGGCGGGCTCGGGGAACACCAGCTGGTTGACCACGATGTTGTGGGTGTCGATGCGGCACTTGGCCAACTCCTGGATCAGCCGCTCGGTCTCGTACAGCGACAGGAACTCCGCGATGCACACGCAGATGAACGTGGTCTGCTCCTGGGGGGGGGGGGGGGTTGGGGGGCGTTTGGGGGGTTATAAAAGGGTTTGGGGGGGTTTGGGGGGGTTATAAAGGGGTTTGGGGGGGGTTTGGGGATTTTGGGGGGGTTATAAAGGGGTTTGGGGGGTTTGGGGGGTTATAAAGGGGTTTGGGGGGGTTATAAAGGGGTTTGGGGGGCGTTTGGGGGATGTTTGGGGGCATTTGGGGGCTGTTTCAGGGCGTTGGGGGGGTTTGGTGAGCATTTGGGGGGTTATAAAGGGGTTTGGGGGTTTATAAAGGGGTTTGGGGGCTTATAAAGGGGTTTGGGGGTGTTTGAGGGGTGTTTGTTTGGGGGCGTTTGGAGGGTGTTTGGGGGGGTTATAAAAGGGGTTTGGGGGGTGTTTGGGGGGGTTATAAAAGGGGTTTGGGGGTGTTTGGGGGGGTTTGGGGCGTTTGGAGGGGTTATAAATTGGGGGGGTTTGGGGGGGTGTTTGTGGGGGTTTGGGGACGGCAGCACAGTGCCACCGCAGCCAGTGGCACAAGGACACCCCCCAGTCCCTCCCAGTCCATCCCAGTGCTCCCAGCCCCCCATTCCTCAGTCCCCCCCAGTCCCCCCCAGTCCCTCCCAGTCCCCCCAGTCCCCCCCCCGTGCCCCCCAGCCTCACCGGGTCCTTGAACTGCTCGCTGACCGAGCGGATCACGGGCAGGGTCTCCTCCAGCTTGGAGGCGAGCTGGTCGGCGTTCATGTCCCCCAGCCCCAGCATGCTGCACATCTGGGGGGCGGGCAGGGGGGTCACCGGGACACCCCCAGACCCAAATCCAGCCCCTGGGACACCCCCAGACCCAAATCCAGCCCTCGGGACACCCCCAGGAACCCCCCAGACCCAAATCCCTGACCAGGAACCGCCCAGGAACCCCCCCAGCCCCAGCATGCTGCACATCTGGGGGGCAGGAGGAGGTCACCAGGACCCCAGCCCCAAATTCACCTCCTGGGACACCCCCAGACCCAAATCCAGCCCCTGGGAACCCCCCAGACCCAAATCCAGCCCAGGAACCGCCCAGGAACCCCCCAGACCCAAATCCCCCCCAGCAGATGAAGGGGCTGATCTGGTTCTTGATCTGCATCAGCCGCCCCAGCCCCAAATCCCCTCCGGTGACTCCCCCAGCCCCAAATCCCCCCCAGGACCCCCCCCCAGGACCCCCCCAAGCCCCCCAACCTGGGAGATGAAGGGGCTGATCTGGTTCTTGATCTGCATCAGGCGCCCCAGCCCGCGCTCCACGATGGTGGGGAAGTTGAGCAGGCGCAGCGTGTGCCCGGTGGGCGCCGTGTCGAAGACCACCACCGAGAAATTCATCCCCTTCACCAGCCTGGGGGGTGGGGGGGGTCAGCACAGCCCCCAGAGACCCCTCCCCACGCCCAGGTGAGCGTTACCTGTCCGAATCCTCGCCTGAACCCCGAATCTCACACCCAGGTGAGCGTTACCTGTCTGAATTCTCACCTAAACCCCAAATCTCACACCCAGGTAAGCGTTACCTGCCTGAATTCTTGTTCTAAACCCCAAATCTCACACCCAGGTGAGCGTTACCTGTCTGAATCCACGTCTAAACACCAAATCTCACACCCAGGTGAACATTACCTGTCTGAATTCTTGGTATAAACCCAAATCTCACACCCAGGTGAGCGTTACCTGCCTGAACTCTCGGTCTAAACCCCTCTTGAGCCCCCCCAAATCCCCCTGCACTCCCAGGTGAGCATCACCCGCCCCAGATCTTTGCCCTAAACCCCCCCTGAGCCCCCCAAATCCCCCAGATCTTTGCCCTAAACCCCTCCTGAGCCCCCAAACCCCCCAGATCTTTGCCCTAAGCCCCCCTGAGCCCCCCAAGCCCCCCAGATCTTTGCCCTGAACCCCTCCTGAGCCCCCCAAACCCCCCAGATCTTTGCCCTAAGCCCCCCCCGAGCCCCCCAAACCCCCCAGATCTTTGCCCTAAGCCCCCCCCGAGCCCCCCAAACCCCCCAGATCTTTGCCCTAACCCCCCCCGAGCCCCCCAAATCCCCCAGATCTTTGCCCTAGACCCGCCCCCGAACTCCCCCAAATCCCCCGGATCTTTGCCCTAACCCCCCCGAGCCCCCAGCCCCACCTCATGACCTCGGCGTAGCTCATGGCCTCGTCGATGCCGGGGAAGGCGCTCATGGCCTCCTGCATCATCTTCTTGCCCATGCTGAGCACGTTGTCCTCCTCGAAGAACTCATCGGGCAGCTCGGCCACGCCCAGGCTGGGGTCGATCTCCTGCGGGACAGAAACAAAATTAAACCCCAAAATTCTGCCATAACGGTGAGGACCCACGGGGACCCCCCTGGAACACCCTTGGGACCCACCAGAACCCACTGGGACCCACTGGGAGCCCCCAGGATCCCCATGGGACCCACCCAGGACCCCCCAGAACTCCCCTGGGACCTACCGGGGACCCCCCAGGACCCACCATGACCTCTTGGGACCCCCTTGGGACCCCCCCAAGACCCACCAGAACCCACCCAGGACTCCCTGGGACCCACTGGGACCCCACCAGGACCCACCAGGATCCCCTTGGGACCCCCCAGGACCCATTGGGACCCTCTGGGAGCCCCCGGAGACCCCCTGGGACCTACCGGGACCCTCCAGGACCCACCAGGACCACACTGGAACCCCCCCAGGATCCACCGAGACCCCACCAGGACCCACCAGGACCCATCAGAACCCACCCGGGACCCCCCGGACCCACCCGGGACCCCCGGACCCACCATGGCGAAGAGGTTGTCGTAGCCGGTGACCTTAGTGGGCACCTTGGAGAATTTCTGGTCGAAGGCGTCGGAGATGTTGTGCGCGGGGTCGGTGGAGATGATCAGCACGCTCTCCCGCACCCGCGCCAGCTGCACCGCCAGGCTGCAGCTGCGGGTACCGGGGGGTTACCGGGGGTTACCGGGGGGTACCGGGGGTACCGGACCGGGGGGAGCCCCCATGGATACCCCCGGGGTTGGATCCCCCCAAAAAGAGCCACGGGAAAGGGGGTGACACATCCCAGCTGCCGGTTCCCAGATGCTGATTCCCGGTTCCCACATCCCGGTTCCCCGTTCCCACATCCCGGTTCTCGGTTCCCGGTTCCTGTCCGTCCTGGTGCTCGCCAGGCCCTCCCGGGGCTGCTGCTCCATCGCACGCCGGGCTCCCCGGTCCCGTTATCCCACCCTACTCCGGTTATCCCAGCCCGGCCCCTCGGTCCCATCCCAATCCCGTTATCCCACCCCGCCCCGCCCGCTCCATCCCGCCCGGTGCCGGTACCGGCTCCGGTGCCGCACCTGCACGTGGTTTTGCCCACGCCGCCCTTGCCGCCCACGAAGATCCACTTGAGGCTGCGCTGCTCGATGATGTTGGCCAGCGTCGGCTCCAGCGGCTCCACGTCGGGCGCGTCCTCGAACTCCTCCGGGCCCTCGGCCGCCCACCCGCCCGCCGCCGCCATCTTCCCCGCGCCGCCGCCCGCCGCGCGCTGATTGGCCAACGCGCCGCCGCGCCCTCCCTTCTTCCTGCTCCCATTGGTCGCATCGCCCGTCAATCCGCTTAAGGGGGCGGGGCGAAGCCCGCGCGTTGCCGGGCAACGCCGCCCCGCCGGCGGGTCCGTGACGTCACCAGCGGCGGCGGTCGCGCTGATGTCATCGGACGGCGCCGGCGGCGGTGGCGGCGGACAAGATGGCGGCGCGCGGCGAGGACCGGGAGGCACCGGAGGCGCCTTCGCCGCCCCCGCCGGGCCCGGGCGGCGGCGTCAACGTCTTCGCCAACGACGGCAGCTTCCTGGAGCTCTTCAAGCGCAAGATGGAGGCGGAGGAGCAGCAGCGGGAGCGCGAGGCGGCGGCGGCGGCGGCCGCGGAGGCGTCCGGTGGCGGCGGCGGCGGCACCGGGCTGGGCTTGCAGCGTGACGGGGTGAAGAGGAGCGGCGGCCCGCTCAGCTTCGTAAGGACGCGGCGGCCCCCGGGCCCCTCCTGGCCCGGCCCGAACCCGTGAGGGCGGCGGGACCGGAGCCGCTCCCGGGGCCGCTCCCGGGGCTCCTCGGGCCCCGCCTGGAGCTCCTCGCTGGCGGCGGCGCCTCCTCCCCTGCGCCGCCGGCGGATTCGTCCGTTCCGGTGCCTCCCCGGTTGTCCCCGGTGTTCCCCTCCCGAGCCCCCGGTTCCGTTCCGGGGGGGGTCACGGCGGCCCCTCCGCGCCCCCGGTAACGGGGCAGGTGTGTCCCTTCCCCAGGTGGGGCGGCGGCGGGGCGGCAACAAGCTGGCCCTGAAAACGGGAGTGGTGGCCAAGAAGCAGAAAACGGACGAGGAGGTGGCACCGGGAACGGGGGGGGGTGGCACCGGGAACGGGGGGGGCGGCACCGGGAACGGGGGGGCGGTACCGGGAACCGGCGGGATTTGGGGTCGGGGAGGAAAAATTTGGGGGTTAGAGGAAGAATTTGGGGTCCCAGGAGGGGGAATTTGGGTTTGGGGGTGGAATTGGGGGTCCTGTGAGGGGGATTTGGGGTTGGGGATGGGAAATTTGGGCTCAGGGATGGGGAATTTGGGGTCCCGGGGGGGGAATTTGGGTTGGAGAGGATATTTGAGGTTAGGGATGGAAATGTTGGGGTTTGGGGGGGAATTTGGGATCAGGGATGGGAAATTGGGGTCTTGGGAGGAGAAATTTGGGGTTTTAGAGGGGGAATTTGGGGTCAGGGATGGGGAATTTGGGGGTTTGGAGGAAGAATTTGGGGTTTTAGAGGGGGAATTTGGGGTCCCGGGGGGGAATTTGGGTTGGAGAGGGAATTTGGGCTCAGGGATGGGAATTTGGGGTCTTGGGAGGAGAAATTTGGGGTCCCGGGGGGGGAATTTGGGTTGGAGAGGGAATTTGGGATCAGGGATGGGAATTTGGGGGTTTTGGAGGAGGAATTTGTGGTCAGGGATGGGAATTTGGGGTTTTAGAGGGGGAATTTGGGGTCCCGGGGGGGGAATTTGGGTTGGGGGGGGGATTTGGGATCAGGGATGGAAATGTTGGGGTTTGGAGGAGGAATTTGGGGTCGGGGATGGGGAAATTTGGAATCCCAGGATGAGAAATTCGAGTTCCTGGATGGGACCTGAGGGGTCCCGGGGGGGTAAACTGAGGCACGGGGGTGTGGGGGTGCCTGAGAGGATTTTGGGGTGATTTCGGGGGGTTTTGGGCAGGTGCTGACGAGTAAAGGCGACGCCTGGGCCAAGTACCTGGCGGAGGTGCAGAAGTACAAAGCGCATCAGTGCAGCGACGACGACAAGACGCGGCCCCTGGTCAAATAGCGCCGCCCCCCCCCCCAAAAAACCTGCAGGGGGGCCCCAAAACCGGCCTGGAACCCCCCAGAAAATCCCCAAAAACATTCACTGAGGGGGGCCCAAAACCGGCCTGGAACCCCCCAAAAACATTCACTGGGGGGGCCCCAAAACCGGCCTGGAACCCCCCCAAAAAAATTCACTGGGGGGGCCCCAAAACCGGCCTGGAACCCCCCCAAAAAATCCCCAAAAAAACCTGCAGGGGGGGGCCCCAAAACCGGCCTGGAACCCCCCCAAAAAATCCCCAAAAACATTCACTGAGGGGGGCCCAAAACCGGCCTGGAACCCCCCCAAAAAATCCCCAAAAACATTCACTGAGGGGGCCCCAAAACCGGCCTGGAACCCCCCAAAAAATCCCCAAAAGGGCCCCCAAAACTGGCCTGAACCGCTCGAAAAAGTCCCCAAAAATAAACTCGCAGGGGGGGCCCCAAAACCGGCCTGTACCACCCAAAAAAAAACCCCAAAAAAATTCACTGAGGGGGCCCAAAACCGGCCTGGAACCCCCCCAAAAAATCCCCAAAAGGGGCCCCAAAACCGGCCTGGAACCCCCCCAAAAAATCCTCAAAAACATTCACTGAGGGGGCCCCAAAACCGGACTGAACCGCCCCCAAAAAAAATTCACTGGGGGGGCCCCAAACCTGGCCTGAACCCCCCAAAAAAAACCCCAAAAAAATTCACTGGGGTGCCTCAAAACCGGCCTGAACCCCCCTCAAAAAAAGCCCCATAAAATTCACTGAGGGGGCCCCAAAACCGGCCTGAACCCCCCAAAAAATCCCCAAAAAAAACCCGCGGGGGGGGGTCCCAAAAGCGGCTCAGAACCCCCCAAAAAATCCCCACACCCACCTCCCCAAAACGCGTTGGAATTTGGGGACCCCCCCAGCCCCCCAAAACCCCCATTAAAGATGAGGCCCCGCCCCTTTTTGTGAAAGCCCCGCCCCTTTTGGCGTAGGCCACGCCCCTTTTCTATCGCCCCGCCCCCGCCCGGTTTGATTGACAGCGCTCCCCCCGCCGCTCCCCCCCGTTGTGTTTTTTGGGGGGCCCCGGGGGGGGTTGGGGGGGGGAGGGGCGGCAATAAAGAGTTCGGAGGTTTCGGAGGCGCTGAGTGGATTTTTGGGGGTTTTTGGAGGTTTTTGGGGTTTTTTGGGGTTTTTTTTGGGAGGTTTTGGGGCTTTTTGGGGTTTTGGTTGGGGGTTTGGGTTTTTTTCGGGGGGTTTTGGGGTTTTTTTGTGGGTTTTGGGGGGGGGGGGGTTTTGGGGGATTTTCGAGGGGTCTGGGGTTATTTTTTTGGGTTTTTTTGTGGGGATTTTGGGGTGTTTTTGGGGTTTTTTTTGCGGGTATGGGGTTTTTTTAGGGATTTGGGAGGGGTGGGGACCCCGCTGTCACCTCTGTCCCCCCCAGTGCTCCCAGTACGGGGTTTTTACTGGTTTGGGGGGGTCTGGCTTCAATAAAGGACGGGGGGGAGCGCCCCGAGCCCCCCAGTTCGTCCCAGTTCCGCCGCCGGGGGGGGAGTTTTGTTGTTCCCCCCCCGTTTCCCCGCAATGGTTCCGTCCGCGCGCGGTGCACGCTGGGACTCGCGGTGCACGCTGGGACTCGCAGTCCCCGCCGCCTCCCGAGGCCTCGGCGCATGCGCGCCACTGACCCCGCCTCTTCCCGCAGAGGCTCCGCCCCGTGCGCACGTGACGCGGCCGCGCGGGGCGGACGGTGGCCGGCGGGGGTCACGGGGGGCAGCGGCCAAACCGCCCCCCGGCCGCGCTCCGACCCCCCCCCAAAAAACACCGGGACCCCCCCCCTCCCCCACCAAAAAACCACCGGGACCCCCCCAAAAACCGCACCGGGACCCCCCCCCAAAGCTCAGCGGGCAGGTACCGGCGGCGCGCGGGGCCTGGCGGGAAATGGGGGGCGCTGAGGGGGGAATTTTGGGGGGGGGGTCTCCTGAGGGGGAGCTGAGGGCTCTGAGGGGGGCGGGGGGGGCTCTGAGGGTCTGGGGGGGTTTTGGGGGCCGGGGGGGCAGCGGGGGGCTCCGACCTGGGGGTGGGGGGTTTAAATTTGGGGAGGGGGCGCGGGGGTGGGTGGGGGTGGGTTTTGTGGCAGGGGGTGGGTTTTGAGGGGGGGGGGGCGCGGGACCCCTCCCCTTCCCTCCCCTCCCCCCCGCCCCGGTTCTCCCGCCATTCCCGGACCGGCCCCACGTGCGCCGCTCCCGCCCCGCCCCCACCCGCGGCGGGCCCCAAATCTCCGGGACCCCCCCCCCGCGACCCTCCCCCAAATTATGGACCCCCAGCGCGCCTTTACCCCATTTACCGACCCCTCCCCATTTATTGATCCCTCCCCCATGGCCCTCCCCCATTTTATCGAGTCCCCCCGCGCCCTTACCCCATTTACCGACCCCTCTCCCCCATTTACCGACCCCTCCCCATTTATTGACCCCCTCACCCATTTGTTGACCCCTCCCCCACGCCCCTTCCCCACTTACCGACCCCTCCCCATTCCTTCACTCCCCCCCCTTTTTCCCCCCCATTTCCTGACTCCCTCCCCTACATTTCCCCCCTCCCCCTCTCTCCACAGCTGCTGCCGCCCCCGGGACCCCCCTAGAAACCCCCCAGGACCCCCCAGGACCCCCAAGATCCCCCCGGGACCCCCATTTTTCCCCCAGCCCCACTCCCCCTCTCTCCGCAGCCGCTGCCGCCCCCGGGAGGACCCCCCCGGGACCCCCCCAGGACCCCTCAGCACCCCCCGGGACCCCCAGGACCCCCATTTCCCCCCCGCCCGCCATGGAGTGGCAGCCGGACGAGCAGGGCCTGCAGCAGGTGCTGCAGCTGCTCAAGGACTCGCAGTCACCCAACACGGCCACGCAGAGGGTGGTGCAGGACGTATCCTGGGGGGCTTGGGGGGCGCTTGGGGGGCTGGATGTGTCCTGGGGGCACCTGGAGGGCACTTGGGGGGCGTTTGGGGGGCTCGGGGAATCGGGAATGGGGCACAGGGTGGTGCAGGACGTATCCTGGGGGGCTTGGGGGCACCTGGGGGGCGCTTGGGGGGCTGGGTGTGTCCTGGGGGTGCCTGAAGGGCGCTTGGGGGGCGCTTTGGGGGCGTTTGGGGGGCTGGATGTGTCCTGGGGGCACTTGGGGGGCGTTTGGGGGACTGGGAGCACCGGGAATGGGGCACAGGGGGTGCAGGATGTATCCTGGGGGTGCGTGGGGGGCACTTAGGGGGCTGGATCTGTCCTGGGGGGCACCGGGGTAGACAGGGAGTACTGGAAATGGAGGTGGGGGCACTGGGGTGGGGATGGGACCCCCAAGAGTGGGGTGAGACCCCCGGGATTGGGCTGGGACCCCCAAGAGTGGGGTGAGACCCTCTGTAAGGGGATGGGACCCCCGGGATTGGGGTGAGACCCCCAAGAGTGGGGTGAGACCCCCAGGATGGGGCTGGGATCCCCGGGATTGGGGATGGGACCCCTGAGATGGGGGTGAGACCCCTGGGATGGGTCACTCAGCCCCCCAATGTGTGTGTGGGGCGGGGGGGGTGAATTTTGGGGTGGGCGACGCAGGGGGTCCCCCCGTGCCCCCCGTGCCCTCCTTAACCCCCCGGCAGAAGCTGAAGCAGCTGAACCAGTTCCCGGATTTCAACAATTACCTGATCTTCGTGCTCACCCGCCTCAAGTCCGAAGGTTTGGGGGGGGTCCCACCTTTTGGGGGGTTCCCACCTTTTTGGGGAGGGGGTCCCACCTTTAGAGGAGGGGTCCCCCCATTTTGGGGGGGTCCCAGCCGCGCCCCTGCCCCCAGACGAGCCGACGCGGTCGCTGAGCGGACTGATCCTGAAGAACAACGTCAAAGCGCATTTCCAGAGCTTCCCCCCGCCCGTGGCCGACTTCATCAAACGCGAGTGCCTCAATCACCTGGGCGACAACTCCTCACTGATCCGTGCCACCATCGGTGAGACACACCTGGGCACACCTGGGGGGCACCTGGGGGCACCTGGGGACACCTGGGCACACCTGGGTACAGCTGGGGTACAGCTGGGCACACTTGGGGACACCTGGGATACACCTAGGGTATGACTGGGCACACCTGGGGCACACCTGGGCACAGCTGAGCACACCTGGGGTATGGCTGGGATACACCTGGGCACACCTGGGGACAGGTGGGGCACACCTGGGGACACCTGGGGGCACCTGGGCACACCTCACCCACCTGGACGACAACTCCTCACTCATCCACGCCACCATCGGTGAGCCACACCTGTGCACGGGGGGGTACACCTGGGCACACCTGGGGACAGGTGGGGTACACCTGGGGACAGCTGGGGCACACCTGGGGACACCTGGGATACACCTAGGGTATGACTGGGCACACCTGGGGCACAGCTGGGCACACCTGGGTACAGCTGGGGTACATCTGGGTACACCTGGGCACACTTGGGGACATCTGGGGTACAGTTGGGTACATCTGGGGTACACCTGAGGACACCTGGGCACACCTGGGATACACCTGGGGTATGACTGGGGGAACCTAAGGCACACCTGGGCACACCTGTGGCAGATGTGACACCAAACCCCCCAAAAATCCCCCCAAATTCCCCCCAGACCCCATCCCCGGCTCACCTGTGCACCTGTGCAGGTATCCTGATCACCACCATCGCCTCCAAGGGCGAGCTGCAGATGTGGCCGGAGCTGCTGCCCCAACTCTGCAACCTGCTCAACTCCGAGGACTACAACACCTGCGAGGTGCACCTGGCTGCGGGGCGGGGCGGGGGGCACACCTGGGCACACCTGGGGGGCGTGGCCGCCGCTGACCCCGCCCCGCCGCGCTGCAGGGCGCTTTCGGGGCGCTGCAGAAAATCTGCGAGGACTCCTCGGAGCTGCTGGACAGCGACGCCCTGAACCGGCCCCTCAACGTCATGATCCCCAAATTCCTGCAGTTCTTCAAGCACTGCAGCCCCAAAATCAGGTGGGCACAGGTGGGGACAGGTGTGGCACAGGTGGGCACACACCTGTGCCCCCTTACCTGGGCAGGTGGGGATATGGGGGTGCTTCAGAAAATCCTGATTCATAAAAACGTCCCGGTGGGTTTTGGGGTGTCCAGGTGGGTTTTAGGGGACACAGATGGGTTTGGGATGCCCAGGTGGGTTTTGGGGTGCCCAGGTGTCTCTGGGGGTGCCCAGGTGTGTTTGGGTGCCCAGGTGACCCCTGCCCGCAGGTCCCACGCCATCGCCTGCGTGAACCAGTTCATCATGGACCGGGCACAGGCGCTGATGGAGAACATCGACACCTTCATCGAGGTGAGGCGCACCTGGGCACACCTGGGGGGCTCACCTGGGCTGGGGGGGGGCACCTGGGGGGGCTCTGGGGATCTTTGGGGGGTTTACCTGCGCCTGTCCCTGGCACCTGGGGGTCTCACCTGGGGCTGTGCCCGGCACCTGGGGGGTCCTGGGGTACCTGGGGGTCTCACCTGGGGATACCTGGGGGTCCTGGGGGTCTCACCTCTGGGTCCCTGTGGGCCCTGGAGCTCTAAGGGGGTCTCACCTGTGGGTTTTGGGGGTCTCACCTGTGCCCCCCGGGGGTCTCACCTGTGCCCCCGGGGTCTCACCTGTGCCCCCCAGCACCTGTTTGCGCTGGCGGCGGACGAGGAGCCCGAGGTGCGCAGGAACGTGTGTCGGGCGCTGGTGATGCTGCTCGAGGTGCGCATCGACCGCCTCCTGCCCCACATGCACAGCATCATCCAGGTGAGCGCACCTGGCCCGGGGGAGGGGGTTACCTGGGCACAGGGGAGGGGCTGGGGGCAGGGATCGGGGTTACCTGTGCCCAGGTGGGGTTTGGGGCGGGCTCTGGGGGGCTCACCTGTGCCCAGGTGAGGTTCGGGGCGGGGTCTGGGGGGTCTCACCTGTGCCCAGGTGAGGTTCGGGGCGGGGTCTGGGGGGGCTCACCTGTGCCCAGGTGCGCTGCCCCCCCGCAGTACATGCTGCAGCGGACGCAGGACGGTGACGAGAACGTGGCGCTGGAGGCGTGCGAGTTCTGGCTGACGCTGGCGGAGCAGCCGGTCTGCAAGGAGGTGCTGACGGCACACCTGGTGCAGTGAGTGACCCAAAATCCCCCTTTTTCACC